CCACTGTATGTATGTATACACACACACTGAGTGTACAAAACATTAAGAACAATGTTCTTTCCATGACATAGACTGACCAGGGGAATCCACGTGAAAGCTATGTTCCCTTATTGATGTCACTTGTTAAATCCACTTCAATCAGTGTAGATGAAGGGGAGGAGACAAGTTAAAGAAGGAATTTTAAGCCTTGAGACATGGATTGTGTTTGTGTGCCATTCAGAGGGTGAATGGTCAAGACAATATTTAGGTGCCTTTGAACGGGGTATTGTAGTAGTAGGGCTGGCCCCGCCTAAAGAAAATCTTGGTCAAAATCGATTGGTTGAAATTTTAAAATGTGTATTTTTCCATATACAGTGCATTCGGAAAGTATTCAGACCCCTTGACTTTCTCCACATTTTTTTAAACTGTTTTTTTATTTGGCATTTTTTATGATTAACAGATAACACAGACAGAACAGGTAGAGGGCAGAACACACACGGATCCCCTACCAAATCAAACCTACCCCAACCCCCCCATGCTCTAATAGAGCCCCACCCCAAAACCAGACTTAAAGCAGGCATGATATACAATGAGTAATATAATCAAATAGTAAAAAAACAGACAAAGATATTATAAAACAGAGAGTAAAACAAAATAGTACAAATAATGATACGAAATCTAATTTGTGTTGGTTTATGGAGTTGTGAAATTAGCTGGGTCCATGTCTTCTACAAAGGATAAGAAAGGTTGACAGATATTATCAAATGTAATTGCAGATCCCCTAATGGAGTAGCGTATTTTCTCTAGCTTGAGATGTTGCATAACTTCCTTTATCCAACGGTTAAAAGTAGGAGGAAACCAATCCTTCCACTTAAATAGTATAAGACGTCTAGCTGGAAGAGTAGTAAATGCCAGGATGGTGCCCATAGAACTGTTTAGAGGGGCCTCCTGTGGTGTTACAGCCTTATTCTAAAATGGATCAAATTTTTTTTTTTTAAATCCCCTCATCAATCTACACACAATACCCCATAATGACAAAACAAAAATAGGTTTTTAGAAATGTAAGTATTCAGACCCTTTACTCAGTACTTTGTTGAAGCACCTTTGTGACACACCTGTATTTGGGCAGTTTCTCCCATTTTTCTCTGCAGATCCTCTCAAGCTGGGTTGGGAGCGTTGCTGCACAGCTATTTTCAGGTCTCTCCAGAGATGTAAATATCGGGTTCAAGTCCGGGCTCTGGCTGGGCCACTCAAGGAGACTTGTCCCGAAGCCACTCCTGTGTTGTCCTGTTGGAAGGTGAACCTTCGCCACAGTCTGAGGTCCTGAGCGCTCTGGAGCAGGTTTTGTACTTTGCTCCGTTCATCTTTGCCTCGATCCTGACTAGTCTCCCAGTCCCTGCCGCTGAAAAACATCCCCACAGCATGATGCTGCCACCACCAAGCTTAACCGTAGGGCTGGTGCCAGGTTTCCTCCAGACGTGACGCTTGGCATTCAGGCCGAGTTCAATCTTGGTTTCATCATACCAGATAATCTTGTTTCTCATGGTCTGAGAGTCCTTTAGGTGCCTTTTGGCAAACTCCAAGCGGCCTGTCATGTGCCATTTACTGAGGAGTGGTTTCCATCTGGCCACTCTACTATAAAGGCCTGATTTGGTGGAGCGCTGCAGAGATGGATGTCCTTCTGGAAGGTTCTTCCATCTCCACAGTTGTGCTCTGTCAGAGTGACCATCGGGTTCTTGGTCACCTCCCTGACCAAGGCCCTTCTCCCCCTGATTGCTCAGTTTTGCTGGGCGGCCAGCTCTAGGAAGAGTCTTGGTGGTTCCAAACTTCTTCCATTTAAGAATGATGGAGGCCACTGTGTTTTTGGGGATCTTCAATGCTGCAGAGATTTTTTGGTAACCTTTCCCAGATCTGTGCCTCGACACAATCGTGTCTCTGAGCTCTACGGGCAATTCCTTCGACCTCATGGCTTGGTTTTTGCTCTGACATGCACTGTCAACTGTGGGACCTTATATAGACAGGTGTGTGCCTTTCCAAATCATGTCCAATCAATTGAATTTAACACAGGTGGACTCCAATCAAGTTGTAGAAACATCTCAAGGATGATCAATGGAAACAGGATGCACCTGAGCTGAACTTAGTCTCATACCAAAATGTCTGAATACTTATGTAAATAAGAAAAATAAAATCAACAATAAAATGGCCACATGCGCCGAATACAACAGTTGTAGACATTAGTCTAATGCGTCCTTACAAGCCCTTAACCAACAGTGCAGGTTAAGAAAAAAATAAATAGCAAATAATTAAAGAGCAGCAGTAAAATAAAATAACAGTAGGGATGTTATATACAGGGGCTACCGCTACAGAGTCAATGTGCGGGGCACCGGTTAGTCGAGGTAATTGAGGTAATATGTACATGTGGGTAAAGTTAAAGTGACTATGCATAAATAATAAACAGAGTAGCAGCAGCGTAAAAGAGGGGGTGGGGGGCAATGCATGTAGTCCGGTTAGCCATGATTAGCTGTTCAGGAGTCTTATGGCTTGGGGTAGAAGCTGTTAAGAAGCCTTTTGGACCTAGACTTGGCGCTCCGGTACCGCTTGCCGTGCGATAGCAGAGAGAACAGTCTATGACTAGGGTGGCTGAAGTCTTTGATAATTTTTACGGCCTTCCTCTGACACCGCCTGGTATAGAGGTCCTGGATGGCAGGAAGCTTGGCCCCAGTGATGTACTGGGCCGTACGCACTACCCTCTGTAGTGCCTTGCGGTCGGAGGCTGAGCAGTTGCCATGCCAGGCGGTGATGCAACAAGTCAGGATGCTCTCGATGGTGCAGCTGTATAACATAACATTTTGAGGATCTGAGGACCCATGCCAAATCTTTTCAGGGGGAATAGGCTTTGTCGTGCCCTCTACACGACTGTCTTAATGTGTTTGGACCATGATAGTTTATTGGTGATGTGGACACCAAGGAACTTGAAGCTCTCAACCTGTTCCGCTACAGCCCTGTCGATGAGAATGGGGGCGTGCTCAGTTCACTTTTTTTGTCCTGTAGTCCACAATAATCTCCTTTGTCTTGATCACGTTGAGGGAGAGGTTGTTATCCTGGCACCACATGGCAAGGTCTCTGACCTCCTCCCTATAGGCTGTCTCATCATTGTCGGTGATCAGGCCTACCACTGTTGTGTCGTCGGAAACTTAATGATGATGTTGGACTACAGGAGGGGACTGAGCACGCACCCCTGAGGGGCCCCCGTGTTGAGGATCAGTGAGGCAGATGTGTTGTTACCTACCTTTACCACCTGGGGGCGGCCCGTCAGGAAGTCCAGGATCCAGTTGGAGAGGAAGGTGTTTAGTCCCAGGGTCCTTAGCTTGGTGATGAGCTTTGAGGGCACTATGGTGTGAATGCTGAGCTGTAGTCAATGAATAGCATTCTCACTTAGGTTTTCCTCTTGTCCAGGTGGGAAAGGGCAGTGTGTAGTGCAATAGAGATTGCATCATCTGTGGATCTGTTGGGGCAGTATGAAAATTGGAGTGGGTCTAGGGTTTCTGGGATAATGGTGTTGATATGAGCCATGACCAGCCTTTTAAAGCACTTCATGGCTACAGACATGAGTGCTACGGGTCGGTAGTCATTTAGTCAGGTTATCTTAGTGTTCTTGGGCACAGGGACTATGGTGGTCTGCTTGAAACATGTTGGTATTACAGACTCAGTCAGGGACATGTTGATAATGTCAGTGAAGACACTTGCCAGTTGGTCAGCGCATGCTCGGAGTACACGTCATGGTAATCCGTCTGGCCCTGCGGCCTTGTGAATGTTGACCTGCTTAAAAGTCTTACTCACATCGGCTACAGAGAGCTTGATCACATAGTAATCCGGAACAGCTGATGCATGCTTCAGTGTTGCTTGCTTCGAAGCGAGCATAGAAGTGATTTATCTCGTCTGGAAGTCTTGTGTCACTGGGCAGCTCGCGGCTGTGCTTCCCTTTGTAGTCTGTAATAGTTTTCAAGCCCTGGCACATGCGACGAGTGTCAGAGCCGGTGTAGTACGATTCAATCTTAGTCCTGTATTGACACTTTGCCTGTTTGATGGTTCGTCTGAGGGCATAGCGGGATTTCTTATAAGCGTCCGGTTTAGAGTCCCGCTCATTGAAAGCGGCATCTCTACCCTTCTGGCTGGGATATGTACGTACGGTCACTGTGTGGACGACGTCATCGATGCACTTATTGATGAAGCCAGTGACTGATGTGGTGTACTCCTCAATGCTATCGGAAGAATCCCGGAACATATTCCAGTCTGTGCTAGCAAAACAGTCCTGTAGCTTAGCATCTGCGTCATCTGACCACTTCCTTATTAACCGAGTCATTGGTGCTTCCTGCTTTAGTTTTTGCTGGTCAGATTTGCCAAATGGAGGGCGAGGGAGAGCTTTGTATGCGACTCTGTGTGTGGAGTAAAGGTGGTCTAGAGTTTTTTTTTTTTTTCTCTGGTTGCACATTTAACATGCTGGTACAAATTAGTTAGAACGGATTTAAGTTTCCCTGCATTTAAGTCCCCGGCCACTAGGAGCACTGCTTCTGGATGAGCATTTTCCTGTTTACTTATGGCCTTATACAGCTCATTGAGTGCAATCTTAGTGGCTGCATCGTTTTGTGGTGGTAAATAAGTATTTCTGATTTTTATTTTTTATCAAATTGCAAAGATTTCAAAAAAACTGTTTTTTCGCTTTGTCATTATGGGTTATTGTGTGTAGATTGATGAGATTTTTAACCATTTTAGAAAAGGCTGTACCGTAACAAAATGTGGAAAAAGTCGAGGTGTCTGAATACTTTCCGAATGCACTGTTTATATATTTAACAAAGTACTGTTTTTCATAATCCCGTCGGTGCCCCCAATACTTCTCTCACCTTCCTCTCCTCTTTCCCCAGGGGGAACAGTTGTATCTTGGCTGACGAGATGGGCCTGGGCAAGACAATCCAGACCATCTCGTTCCTCAACTACCTGTTCCACGACCACCAGCTGTACGGACCCTTCCTGCTGGTGGTGCCCCTGTCCACGCTAGTCTCCTGGCAGAGGGAGATCCACCTGTGGGCCCCCCTCATGAACGTTGTGGTCTACCTGGGTGACATCAGCAGCCGGGGCATGGTAGGTTATGGCTGTAGGGATGGATATGATAGATATACAGTATTCTGATTCTATGGGTGTCGATACACCATCATCAATAGATGCATCCCAAATGGCATTATTTTCAGCTTTATAGTGCACTACTTTTAACCAGGTCCCGTATGGCTCTGGTCAAAAGTAGTGCACTATATAGCGAACAGGATGCCATTTGGGATGCATACAATAACTCAAAACTGATGAGAGGATGATAATGGTCTCTTTTAAGAAGTTCGTCCTTCTTTTAGAGCCTGCGCTCACAAAACATTGTTGTATAACACTTTGCTTTAAATTCGAATATACATTGAACAAATATAAAAACGCAACATCCAACAATTTAAAATATTTTACTGAGTTACAGTTCATAAAGTAAATCAGTCAATTGAAATGAATACACTGAACAAAAATATAAACGCAACATGTAAAGTGTTGGTCCCATGTTTCATGAGCTGAAATAAGAGCCCAGAAATTGTCCATATGCACAAAAACCTTTTGTCTCTCAAATGTTGTGCACAAATTTGTTTACATACCTGTTAGCAAGCATTTCTCCTTTGCCAAGATAATCGATCCACCTGACGTGTGGCATATCAAGAAGCTAATTAAACAGCATGATCATTACACAGGTGCATCTTGTGCTGTGGACAATAAAAGGCCCCTCTAAAATGTGCAGCTTTGTCACAACACAATGCCACAGATGTCTCAGGTTTTGAGGGCGCGTGCAGTCGGCATGCTGACTGCAGGAATGTCCACCAGAGCTGTTGCCAGAGTATTGAATGAGCATTTCTCTACCATAAGCCGCCTCCAACGTTGTTTTAGAGAATTTGGTAGTATGTCCAACTGGCCTCACAACCGCAGACCACGTGTAACCACCCGGACAGCTGATGAAACTGTGGGTTTGCACAACCAAAGAATTTCTGCACAAACTGTCAGAAAGCGTCTCAGGGAAGCTCATCTGCAGGCTCGTTGTCTTCACCAGGGTCTTGACCTGACTGCAGTTCGACATCGTATCCGACTTCAGTGGGCAAATGCTCACCTTCGATGGCCACTGGCACGCTGGAGATGTGTGCTCTTCTGCTGAATCCCAGTTTCAACTGTACCGGGCAGATGGCAGACAGCGTTGTATGGTGTCGTGTGGGTGAGCGATTTGCTGATGTCAGTGTTGTGAGCAGAAGTGCCCCATAGTGGCTGTGAGGTTACGGTATGGGCAGGCATAAGCTACGGACAACACAGAGATAACGTGAAGATACCCTGAGGCCCATTGTCGTGCCATTCATCTGCCGCAATCACCTCATGTTTCAGCATAATGCACAGCCCATTGTCACAAGGATCTGTGACCAACCGATGTAATGAATTTATTTCAATTGACTGATTTCCTTATATGAACTGTTAACTAAGTAAAATCGTAGAAATTGTTGCATATTGTGTTTTATATTTTTGTTCAGTATAAATTCATTGGGCCCAAATCTATGGATTTCACATGACTGGGAATACAGATATGCATCTGTTGGTCTCAGATACCTTAATAAAAAGGTAGGGGCGTGGATCAGAAAACCAGTCAGTATCTGGTGTGACCACCATTTGCCTCATGCAACGTGACACATCTTCGAATAGAGTTGATCAGGCTGTTGATTGTGGCCTGTGGAATGTTGTCCCACTGCTCTTCAATGGCTGTGCGAAGTTGCTGAATATTGGCGGGAACTGGAATACGCGGTCGTACAGTGCATTCGGAAAGTATTCAGATCCCTTGACTTTTTCCACATTTTGTTACGTTACCGCCTTATTCTAAAATGGATTAAATCATTTTTTTTCCCTCATCAATCTACACACAATACCCCATAATGACAAAGGAAAAACAGATTTATATACATTTTTGCAACTTAATAAAAAATAAACAGAAATATTACATTTACATAAGTATTCAGACCCTTTACTCCGTACTTTGTTGAAGCACCTTTGGCAGTGATTACAGCCTCGAGTCTTCTTGGTTATGATGATACAAGCTTGGCGCACCTGTATTTGGCGAGTTTCTCCCATTCTTTTCTGCAGATCTGCGGGCTGTCTTGTGCCTTTTACTGAGGAGTGGCTTCCGTCTGGGTACTCTACCATAAAGGCCTGATTAGTGGTGTGCTGCAGAGATGGTTGTCCTTGTGGAGGTTTTTCCCATCTCCAGAGAGGAACTCTGGAGCTCTGTCAGTGACCATTGGGTTCTTGGTCACCTCCCTGGCCAAGGCCCTTCTCCCCCGATTGCTCAGTTTGGCCGGGCGGCCAGCTTTAGGAAGAGTACTTTCCGAATGCGCTGTACACATCGATCCAGAGCATCCCAAACATCGTCAATGGGTGACATATCTGAGTATGCAGGCTATGGAAGAACTGGGACATTTTCAGCTTCCAGGTATTGTGTACAGATTCTTGCGACATTGGGTCGTGCATTATTTACATTTACATTTTAGTCATTTAGCAGACGCTCTTATCCAGAGCGACTTAGTTAGTGAATGCATACATATATTTTTCTTACATGCCCCCCGTGGGAATCGAACCCACAACCCTGGCGTTGCAAGCGCCATGCTCTACCAACTGAGCTACACGGGACTCCTTATCATGCTGAAACATGATGTGATGGCGGCGGATCAATGGCACGACAATGGGCTTCAGGATCTCGTCACGGTATCTCTGTGCATTCAAATTGCCATCGATAAAATGGCATTGTGTTCGTTGTCCGTAGCTTATGCCTGCCCATACCATAACCCCACCGCCACTATGGGGCACTTCTGTTCACAACACTGACATCAGCAAACAGCTCACCCAAACGACACCATACACGCTGTCTGCCATCTGCCCGGTACAGTTGAAACCGGGATTCAGCCGTGAATAGCACACTTCTCCAGTGTGCCAGTGGCCATCGAAGGTGAGCATTTGCCCACTGAAGTCTGTTACGATGCCGAACTCCAGTCAGGTCAAGACCCTGGTGAAGACGACGAGCTTGCAGATGAGCTTCCCCGACACTGTTTCCGACAGTTTGTGCAGAAATTCTTCGGTTGTGCAAACCCACAGTTTCATCAGCTGTCTGGGTGGCTGGTCTCAGACTATCCCTAAGGTGATGAAGCCGGATGTGGAGTTCCTGGGCTGACGTGGTTACACGTGGTCTGCGGTTGTGAGGCCGATTGGACGTACTGCCAAATTCTCTAAAACAACGTTGGAGGCGGCTTATGGTAGAGAAATGAACATTCCGTTCTCTGGCAACAGCTCTTGTGGACATTTCTGCTGTCAGCATGCCAATTGCACGCTCCTTCAAAACTTGAGACATCTGTGGCATTGTGTTGTGTGACAAAACTGCACATTTTAGAGGTGCCTTTTATTGTCCCCTGCACAATTGCACCTTAATATGCCACACATGTGATGTGATGTGATGAATTATCTTGGCAATGGAGAAATGCTCACTAACAGGGATGTAAACAAATGTGTACACACAATTTTTGAGAAATAAGCTTTTTGTGCGTATGGAACATTTCTGGGATCTTTTATTTCAGCTCATGAACCATGGAACCAACAATTTACATGTTGCGTTTATATTTTTGTTCAGTGTAGATTAATTGTCCTTACTGCGTTTAGCATATTATGGTTTATTTTGTCTTCATATGTTCTCTGTTATTGGTTTAAGCTGAATTTGACATGAGAAAATGAAGTGTGGTTTTTTAAATTAAATTTTTGACCCCGTCCTTGACTTATCTTGAGTTGAGACTCCATTTAATTGCAAAATCCTTTTGGTTTTTAGATCCGAACGCATGAATGGATGCACGTTCAGAACAAGAGACTTAAGTTAAACATTCTGCTTACAACATATGAAATTCTCCTCAAAGATAAGGTAAGCCAGAAGCAGCAGCAATTTCTTGCATCTTTGTATGTAACTTGTGAGCTGTGGAAATAAATTCCTCTTGAAGGACAATAAACGTCATTCATCAATAAATCATGTACGCAATAATCCTGAGCTGTTGTTAATTGCGAATTCTGGCATCTTTATTTAGTATAAATGACATACATAGTCAAATGCACTGACTGTACCCAAGTGACTTACTGTCAATATTGTGACAGTATGTTGCCCATGCGGGAATCAAACTCACAACCCTGGTTTCGCCAGCAAGCTGGCTCTAACTAACCCAATGAGCCATTGGCACCACATTGTATAGTTAACACTTTTTTGTCCGCTATCCAGGGATTCCTGGGCAACGTGCCGTGGGCCTTCATCGGCGTGGATGAGGCCCACCGGCTGAAGAATGATGACTCGCTGCTATACAAGACCATGATGGACTTCAAGTCCAACCACAGGCTCCTCATCACGGGCACACCGCTTCAGAACTCGCTCAAAGAGCTCTGGTCCCTGCTGCACTTCATCATGCCTGACAAGTAGGTCACCTAGCTACCTCACCAGTGTGTGTGTTGGGGGGGTGGGTGGGGTGTGTGTGTGTGTTAAGACTAACTGTCCTATATAATTTCATGTGGTGGCTGGGAATCAAGGTACTGTCCTAGTTGAAATATGTTCCGTCCTTGTTCTGGGGCTTTCGGTCCTCAGAGAGCAGTGCTGATGTCGGGTCTTCTGCCTGTGTGTGTACTTGTCTCTGCCTGCGTGTGTGTGTGCATCTGTGTCTCTGTGTGTGTGTGTGTCTCTCTGCGCTCATGCCCGTGTGTATCCCTGTGTCTCTTCGTGTATGTGTCTGTTCAGGTTCCACTCGTGGGAGATATTTGAGGAGGAGCATGGGAAGGGCAGGGACTCTGGCTACACCAGTCTACACAAGGAGCTGGAGCCCTTTCTGCTGCGTAGAGTCAAGAAGGATGTGGAGAAGTCTCTTCCTGCTAAAGTGGAGCAGATCCTCCGAGTGGAGATGAGCGCCATCCAGAAACAATACTACAAGTAAGAACAGACAGTACTTATCCCTAGAAAAGATGGATACTACTCATTCAGAAATGGCACTACTATTACGTCATATTGGATACTTAACGTTAGGGGTGTGAACGTAAACGTTAAAATGTTTAAGCGAAATTGCGTTAACACACCCACTAACCAGTGGCGTGTATTGATGGATGCCAGGCTTCCCCCAAAAATGGACCAAGAAAAAAATTTAACAACAGAAAATTATTTATCTTTTGTCTCTCTGTGTTTCATAATTTTCCTTCAATTCGTTGAGGCTGAATGTATCTCACAGGAGAAAGCATATAACGAGCAAAACAGCGCCCCTCTGTCTCTCTAGGTGTAGGCCATCTATCTGATGCTGTCTGGTCCAAACGAATATGACATGTTGCTGCCCGTAGCATTGAAGGCAAGGGAAGCCAACGAGCATCTGGCGACCCTTGACAAAAAAAGTATACAAAATGTAGCCAATCAGCATTGAGCTAAACTGAGCAAGCTCAACTGTGAATGGTCCTGGCGCACCAAAAAAAGTGTCAAGGGAAGACAGCTTGGATTTGGCGTCACTCCTGTGAAATCCCATTGAGAGCATACGTCATTGACAGAAAAACTTGAATTGTTGCATCTTGTTGTTGTTGTCCTCCGGTGGCTAGCTAGTCAGCTAGCTCAAATTGGCCCTTTCCTAAATTAGCCATGGATAGAGATAGGGATTTGGACGTGGTTTGACTTAATTTTCCGTACTGGCCAATGATTATAACAGCGATTCTGATCCAACAATTAATTCATACTTTGTTGTGCCCCTGACCTGAGAGGATGGAAGTTCAAAATGTAGCTAGATGTAGAAGGCTAATGTTAACTAGCTAACATTGCCCATGAATCAAAGTTAGGCTAGCGAGCAAGCATTTTAGCCAAGTAGCCTAGGACAACAAAAAATGTAAGCGTATACTGTATGACATTGATGGACCTTTTCGTCAACATGAAAGAGAGGAGGATGGCATTGGCGTTTCACTACAAGTTTTGTCAACATGTTTATCTACTTGCACACGCACAGAAATCCGAACCATGGATAGCCACATCATATTTTGCTTATGTTGATTGGACTAAATTGTTTTTGGTATCTTTTAGTTATTAGACTAAACAGAGGTGATTTGATGATGAAGTTGAAAGGGTGCTGGAATAGTTGTTTAGTGGTCCGAAAATGTCGGAAACATTAACCATGCTGTAGGTCATGTAACTGTCTATTACTGTACATGCAATATGCTTTGTGGACTTCACTGGACAGAGGTTGCTATCTGGTTTTGTGATAAAACAATGGTGTGGTTGAATTTATTCTGCCACTGTGTCTTCTTATTGTCTCAGCCTTTAGGCCTATATATCATGGTCGCAAGGCATATGAATTAACAGGTTTCCCCAGTGATTTTACCCACGCACCGCTACTGCCACTAACAGGTCCCAATCATCATTATAAAGAGAAACATTTAAATTAAACAAATACCTAACATAACAATGAATCTTTCAAATTTGCCATCAGTTGTGTTGTGACAAGGTAGGGGTGGTATACAGAAGATAGCCCTATTTGGTAAAATACCTAGTCCATATTATGGCATGAACAGCTCAAATAAGCAAAGAGAAACGACAGTCCATCATTACTTTAAGACATGAACGTCAGTCAATTCGGGAAATTTCTGTCGCAAAAACCATCAAGCGCTATCATGAAACTGGCTCATATGAGGCCCGCCACAGAAAAGGAAGACCCAGAGTTACCTCTGCTGCAGAGGATAAGTTAATAAGAGTTACCAGCCTCAGAAATTGCAGCCCAAATAAATGCTTCACAGAGTTCAAGTAACAGACAAATCTCAACATCAACTGTTCAGAGGAGACTGTGTGAATCAGGCCTTCATGGTTGAATTGCTGCAAAGAAACTACTACCAAAGGACACCAATAAGAAGAAGAGACTTGCTTGGGCCAAGAAACAAGAGCAATTGACATTAGACTGGTGGAAATCTGTCCTTTGGTCTGATGAGTCCAAATTTGAGATTTTTGGTTCCAACTGCCATGTCTTTGTGAGACGCAGAGTAGGTGAACGGATGATCTCTGCACGTGTGGTTCGCACCGTTAAGCATAGAGGAGGTGTGATGGTGTGGGGGTGCTTTGCTGGTGACCGTGTCAGTGATTTATTTAGAATTCAAGGCAACCTTAACCAGCATGGCTACCACAGCATTCTGCAGCGATACGCCATCCCATTTGGTTTGCGCTTAGTGGGACTATCATTTGTTTTTCAACAGGACAATGACCAAAACACACCTCCAGGCTGTGTAATGGCTATTTTACCAAGAAGGAGAGTGATGGAGTGCTGCATCAGATGACCTGGCCTCCGAAATCACCCGACCTCAACCCAATTGAGATGGTTTGGGATGAGTTGGACCGCAGAGTGAAGGAAAAGCAGCCAACAAGTGCTCAGCATATGTGGGAACACCTTCAAGGCTGTTGGAAAAGCATTCCTCATGAACTGGTTGAGAGAATGCCAAGCGTGTGCAAAGCTGTCGTCAAGGCAAAGGGTGGCTATTTGAAGAATCTCAAATGTGTATTTGTTTAACACTTTTTTGGTTACTACATCATTCCATGTGTTATTTCATAGTTTTGATGTCTTCACTATTATTATACAATGTAGAAAATAGTAAACATAAAGAAAAACCCTTAAATGAGTAGGTGTCTCCAAACTTTTGACTGGTACTGTATATACTTGCACATATTTTACAAGTGTAGTAGATGTCGTTTTGTTTTTACAACTTTCTCACTGTTTATCCAGGGATGTAAACGGGCTGAGAGTGAGCAGGGAGGCAGGTGGAGAGAGAGAGGGGGGACAGGCAAAGAGAGAGAGAAGGGGGGGCAGGCGGAGAGAGAGAGAGAGAAGGGGGGGCAGGCGGAGAGAGAGAGAGAGAGGTGGGACAGGCAGAGAGAGAGAAGGGGGGGCAGGCAGAGAGAGAGAGAGGGGGGACAGGCAGAGAGAGAGAAGGGGGGCAGGCAGAGAGAGAGAGAGAAGGGGGCAGGCGGAGAGAGAGAGAGAGAAGGGGCGCCCACTCTCTCTTTCGCTCTCTCTCTCCCTGCAACTTTTTGCATCTCTGCGCCTGTTTGCATCCCTCTGAGTGCTGCAGCTCCAGGTTTGAGGCCCTCCGCAGCTTTCTGGCTGTACAGTTCGAGGTGCTTGAGTCATTCGCAGTCTACCTGCTCCCCTAGGCTCCCTGTTGCACTAGCAACCTTCAGTTTTACTGTCGGCAGCTAGGCTGGGGGGCGGACAATTTTATCCAGAGCGACTTACAGGAGCAATTACTGTTAAGTGCCTTGCTCAAGGGCACATCGACAGATTTTTCACCTCAGAGATTTGAACCAGCCATTTTTCGGTTACTGGCCCAACACTCTTAACCGCTAGGCTACCTGTCGCCCTTCACACACCCCTTTAATTTCTCTGGGACTTTGGGGGCTTCTTCGGGAGTGTGCAATGTTGCAGAACGAACAGCTAGATATCGAAGGTGTACTTCACCGTTCTGTAAATAAACCAGACAGCCACCTCACCTCAATATCCCTTGTAAAGGGGTATATGGCGGAAATTGATTGGTTTTCTTATCCCGGACAGAGATTAAGCCTAGTTTTGGACAACATATTTTTTTATCTCAACCTTTTGAACATTTTATTTTTCAAACATGGTTTAAAATAGCCCTAGACTTTAATTAATCTGGGTGAAAATTAGATCTAGTCTAAGTGAGGGTATAAACTAAACCCAGATTAGTTGAAAGTTAGTTTGGAGTGCTCCTTTTCTAAATCAGTTAATCCAGATTTAAGAAATGTAAATACATTTAAAAGCATTGCAAATGGTAGTCCAAAATGGTAGTCCAAACTTTATTTTTCTTGACTTTCTGTTGCAGAATCATGATGTAATTGGGTAATTATTTTATTCACAAACTACTATCCCTTTGTTTGGTCAAACAGGTGGATCCTGACGAGGAACTATAAGGCCCTGAGCAAAGGCACCAAGGGCAGCACGTCGGGCTTCCTCAACATCATGATGGAGCTGAAGAAGTGCTGCAACCACTGCTACCTTATTAAGCCCCCCGAGGACAACGAGTTCAACACCAAACAAGAGGCCTTACAGGTGAGTTATTTAACATTTATTTATACAGGAAGTGCCGTTGAGGCCAGACGACCTCTTTTTATTAGGGAGATCTGGATTTAGGAGGAAGAGAGGGGGGAAATTAACGTACAGTAACTCTGTGGGCCAGTTTCCCAGACGCAGATTAAGCCTAGTCCTGGATGAGAATGTATGCTCGGTGGAGACATTTTAATTAATATTTTATTCCAAATAAGATAAAATGCCTGAAAAGCATCGTAGACCTAAGAGTTAGTTGTGTAAACCTCAACCTTAAAGAATTGCCATGCTTGAAACAGTTTCTGTTTTTGGAACACGTGTTTCTGCTTTAATCACACAATGAATGTTTTGGCAACACCTGTTGGTGGTATTACTCTTGTTTTATATCATGCCACCAATTTTGTTGTTTCAAATACTTGTTTACTCTATTGACACTATAGTTATCCTTGTATTGGCCACTTTGATGTTAATTGTGACCTAGAAATATGAGTTTTGTCCCAAAATGCTGTGATTAAGAAAATACATACTGTGTACGCAGAATTCTTTCCAGAGTTAAACCTAGCAGTGTTTTATTATGATTACATTGCTGGGCTCCCTTCACAGCTTTGTGTCCAGCGTAGATTAACACTATTATCTTCCTCTATGTCTCTGTCTCTCTCTCTCCCTCCTCTATCCCCCTCTCCCACTGCAGCACCTGATCCGGAGCAGTGGGAAGCTGGTGTTGCTGGACAAGCTGCTGGTGCGTCTACGGGGGCGGGGCCACCGCGTGCTTATCTTCTCCCAGATGGTCCGGATGCTGGACATCCTGGCCGAGTACCTGAAGAGCCGCCAGTTCCTGTTCCAGGTCAGCAGCTCACTCACTCCCAACCCACATTCCCAGGCTCTTTCTCGTTAGTCTTTCCTTGATTCCTGGCTTCCTCTCTCCTTGCCTCCATCTCAAAACACATTGGAAATGAAGGTTAGAGGGGAGGGACCTCCAATACGGTTGAGAAGGCAGTGAGGAGATAGGATGGGAGGAATCATGGAAAGATGGATTGAGAGAGTCCCATCCCCGTATCCTTCCCACATACAGGCTTCCCTCGTTATAGGTATTTCGGGGTTGTGGGTTTAAGCGCTGTGTAGGCTTATTGCTACCTGAAGACCTGTCTGTATTCTCTACATAATTTTATTGCGCAGATCTTCTATTGGCAAAAGGAACCATGGCTTACCAAAAACAGTAATCCTAGTCAGGATTCATCCGAGTTATTATCTAAGCACAGTACTTAGGCTTGTTAAGTTTTAACATACTTGACCCCCTAAAGATAAGCAAAATACAAAAACTCTTTCAATTAAAAAAAAATTAAGGGAATTTGCTGTAACTGTTTCTGAGACGAGGACTCTAAATATGTATTTTTAGAGATTGGATGGCTCCATCAAGGGAGAGATGAGGAAACAAGCGCTGGACCATTTCAACGCTGAGGGCTCTGAGGTAAGTGGGGAATGCCCCATAGATATCTACTATTGCTCTAACAGCCAGGGTTGGGATCAATCCAGTTTTCACTTCCTGAATTGACGCAATTGAATACTGACTTGACCCCAACCGTGCTAATTTAACTCAATAATCCAATCAAGTTCACTGATGTGGTGAATATAGAATTGGAAACCTATGGAATTAACCATAATTACGCCGCACTTCATTACATCTTACTTCCTCTCCCCAGGATTTCTGCTTCCTGTTGTCGACGCGGGCGGGCGGCCTGGGCATCAACCTGGCATCGGCAGACACGGTGATCATCTTCGACTCGGACTGGAACCCCCAGAATGACCTGCAGGCCCAGGCCAGAGCCCACAGGATTGGCCAGAAGAGACAGGTGTGCAACCAATCACCTTTTCAAGTTCAAGTTGACTTTCAGTCAAGTTTTATTGTTACCCATGACAAAGTAGTTTATACAAACCAAAATGCATGGCATCGATGAATATAGTTTTTAACCCAATGAGTCCCACCAAAATGCCGGCACGTTTTGGACTTCTAACTCCATTTAAACAGTGTGTGTTTAGCTACAAACTTCTGGGTTGTACCATTGGATTCGTCTATTTCTGCATCCCCGTAGACATCAACCATTAGTCTGTGTGATTAACGGGGGCTGAGCTAGAGCGGTGTTTGTGAGACAAGGGCAGATCCCGAAGGGGCCCGGGGCTGGGTCTTTTTTACAAACATTTCTGAGCTGCAAACTATTTAAAGCTGTCTATGAAACGCTGAGGCTCTCACAAACACGCACATGTGCTCTATGACGCTCACAAGCTACACAAGAGTCGTTCGAAGGTAAGGGGTTCGTCTACATAGAAGATCATAGGAAATCCCAGGACAAAGTGTATAATACTGTAAAAAGATCAGTGTTGCTGTCCCAAGCACCATGCAGTTGTCACTGACCAGTTGGATATTCATTTCCCAGTGCACAAACCATTTCTGTACTTACAGCATTCATATAGATTCATTTTTATCAGGTTTTTGGCAGAACTTTATTTTTTGTCAAATTGTTTTATGTTCTACTTGTAGCCCTGGTTGTCCTGAAAAGAAAATGGTAAAACACTTAATTGTGAGGCTAAATATAAGGGCTGGACATGCAGATAAATGAAAGTCAGATAAATGAAAAGCCAATTTTTTTTGGGGTCTCTGGACTGATAGGGTTAAAGCTATGTGCTATTGGTAATTGGTAATTTTACCACGTGAATGTTTTTGCACAACACACTTTGTCAAGTTTAAGGCCTCCCGAGTGGCGCAGTGGTCTAAGGCACTGCATCGCAGTGCTAGCTGTGCCACTAGAGATCCTGGTTCGAATCCAGGCTCTGTCGTAGCCGGCCGCGACCGGGAGACCCATGGGGCGGCGCACAATTGGCCCAGCGTCGTCCAGGATAGGGGAGGGAATAGCCGGCAGGGATGTAGCTCAGTTGGTAGAGCATGGCGTTTGCAACGCCAGGGTTGTGGGTTTGATTCCCACGGGGGGTATGATTATTTTTTTTTACAAATAATAATAATGTATGCACTCACTAACTGTAAGTCTGCTAAATTACAAAAAAAAAAAAGGTCAAACTTTATTGTTAGCCAATTGACAGCAGGCAATACAGACCAACATACATGGTCATATGAGTCCAAGTTGTATTGAATAAAGTTTTGTAAGGCTATGTCCTATTGGTAATTTGCAATCAAATATCTAGAATTTGATTGCATTATCTAGAGGTGGATTAGAGGTGTGAATCTCCTAGGATTTTTCATATTAAACCTATATCCTAAACAATCGTGCATTAAACAATCGTTCAATTAAACGTTGTCTTGGGCACATCTCAAATACACCAATGAGGAGCATTACAGCGCTGTAGATATAACTTCATCCAATCAATCAATCACATTTATTTTATGAAGCCCTTTTTACATCAGTATTTGTTACAATGTGCTCCACAGATACCCAGCCTGTAACCCCAAAGAGCAAGCAATGCAGATGCAGAAGCACAGTGGCTACGAAAGGGGTGGCCAGAGTCCTCTTCTGGCTGTACCTGGTATAGATTTAAGAGTACATGTGGCAATTAAGGCCAGGTTGTTTTTCAAGACGTTCTAACGTTCGTAGTTGACCAACAAGGTTGGATAATAACCATAATTGCTGTGGAGGGCACAACACTTCAACACTGCAAGATTCAACGTCAGTTGGCTTTTCATAGTCAGAGATTCAAAGTTCCAAAGGAGAGTGGGGTGGCGGGGGGGTGCGATGCAGCAGCAGATAGCGTGATGCAGCACAAGGTAGGTAACAACACAACAAAAAACATTGCTGTGTGTCTCTCAGGTGAACATCTACCGCCTGGTGACCAAGAGCTCGGTGGAGGAGGAGATCATTGAGCGGGCCAAGAAGAAGATGGTGCTGGACCACCTGGTCATCCAGAGGATGGACACCACGGGAAAGACCGTCCTCCACACCGGCACCGCTCCCTCCAGGTACACACACACACACACATTCACGCAAATACACACACATGCAAACACTAATGACACTCACTCTCTCTCAAACCTAGGTGAAACCTAGGTGCTTACACAAATACATACACTGGCATTGTGGTGCCAGGACAACAACCTCTCCCTCAACATCAGCAAAACAAAGGAGTTGATTGTTGACTTCAGGAAGCACAGGAGGGAACATGCCCCAATCCACATCAACAGGACTGCAGTAGAGCGAGTCAGCAGGTTTAAGGTCCTCTGCATCCACATCACCGAGGATTTGTCATGGACCAACAACACCACCACTCTTGTCAAGAGGCATTCCACCCCGGGTCCTCTCCAAATATTACCGCTGCACCATCGAGAGCGTCCTGACCGGTTGCATCACGGCCTGGTACGGGAATTGCTCTGTCCACCACCGCAAGGCCCTCGAGCGGATGGTGAAGACTGCCCAGTACATCACTGGGACCGTGCTCCCACCCATCCAGGACATCTACTCAAAACGGTGCCTGGGGAAGGCTTGCAGCTTCATCAAGGACCCCACATACCCCAGCCACGAGCTGTTCACTCACTCACCTTTGAGCAGACGTTCTCGGAGCATGAGGTCTGATACCAACAGGCTCAGAGACAGTTTCTATCTACAAGCCATCAGACTGCTGAACACTTGAACTGCACTGACCACGTGCTCTGATTGTCCGTGCCTTAGCACACATGCACTCACTCACGCACACACCCATACTGACATACTCATGTATCCCGTACATATGACTAATGAAACTTGAAACACAAACTAGGACATACACAAACACGCAAATACACACACACGAAAGCACACACACACACTCTCTCAAACCTCTAGGTGCTTACAGCCAGTTACACCAGACACCTGCCACCATGAAGAATCTTACTCTCAACTACATAAAAAAACACACACTTTCTCAGTGTGCTTATAGTCTCTCTCGCAAACAAACACCCTATACCCTCTAGATCAGGGCTCTCCAACCCTGTTCCTGGCGAGGTTTTCGCTCCAACCCTAATATAGCGCACCTGATTCTAATAATTAGCTGGCTGATAAGATTAATCAGATTAGTTACAACTGGGATTGGAGCGAAAACCTACAGGAAGGTAGCTCTCCAGGAACATGGTTGGAGAACCCTGCCTTAGATACTTACTTACAAATACACATACCATCCTTTTGAGGTGTTCACATTATCATGCACACACCTGCAAGGTTTTCTGTATACTCATTTAGAACTTCCATCACTTGCAGTGCCACTCCGTTCAACAAGGAGGAACTGTCGGCCATTTTGAAGTTTGGTGCTGAGGAGCTCTTCAAAGAGCAGGAGGGGGAGGAGCAGGAGCCTCAGGTTTGTCACACACCTCATCGTAAATTAGAATTGTCATGATAGCACTAACACAATACCATGATATTCCATTTGTGTGTCTGATGAAGGTGACAAATCCAATTTCCCCGCTGCGGATCGATAAGGTTGATTTCATTTTTCATAAACTGAGTGTTTGGTTTCCGTCTGGCAGGATATGGACATCGATGATATCCTGAAGAGAGCCGAGACCAGAGAGAATGACCCCGGCCCCTCCACTGTGGGAGAGGAGCTTCTCTCACAATTCAAGGTATACAGTGTATCACGTTAATCGCAAGTAAAACCTTCAAAATAACCACTAGTGAGAATGACAAGAAGAATAAGTTCAACAGTGTTTGAGGACCAGATTCCTGGACGCTGATTTAAGTCTAGTACTGGACAAAAAATATACACTGATTGTACAGAACATTAGGAACTTTCCATGACATAGACTAACCAGGTAAATCCAGGTGAAAGCTGTGATCCCAAATTTATGTCACTTGTTAAATTCACTTAAACCAGTATAGATGAAGGGGAGGAGACAGGTTAAAGAAGGATTTTTAAGCCTTGAGACAATTGAGACATGATTGTGTATGTGTGCCATTCAGAGGGTGAATGGTCAAGACAAAAGATTCAAGTGCCTTTGAACAGGGTATGGTAGTAAATTCCAGGCACACCAGTTTGAACTGCAACGCTGCTGGGTTTTTCATGCTCAACAGTTTCACGTGTGTATCAACAATGGCCCGACATCCATCCAACTTGACAGAACTGTGGGAAGCATTGGAACATCCCTATGGAACGCTTTCGACACCTTGTAGAGTCCACGCCCCAATGAATTGAAGCTGTTCTGAGTGCAAAAGGGGGTGCAACTCAATATTAGGAAGGTGTTCCTAATGTTTTGTACACTCAGTGTAGTTTTATGGAGATTCTCCATTGAGTGTTTAGAAAATAATAATTCATCCGCTGACCCTCTGTGACCTAACCTTGACCCCTCACTGCCAGGTGGCCAACTTTTCCATGATGGAGGAGGAGGAGATCGTCATGGACTCTGAGCGCCACCATCGGGGCTGGGACGACATCATCCCCGAGGCGCAGCGGTGGCAGATGGAGGAGGAGGAGAGGCAGAAGGAGCTGGAGGAGATCTACCTGCTGCCACGCATGAGGAACTGTGCCAAACAGGTTAGCGAGGGGAGAGACCGTGTACCTTCTTATCCAATACAGTTGAGAAGGTCACTAGGAGATAGGATGTGAGGAATCACAGAAAGACCAATTGAGATAGTCACTCACACACACGTCAGTTCTCTTCAATGCAGAGATTGGGTTTTTCAATTGATTAAAATAGTTTTTTCTGAGGTCAATATATTCTAAGGTCAATGTATCTAGCATTTTTGCCTTCTGAATTAATAAGTTGTGCCAAACGGTCTCATCCCAGTCAGTTGCCGATGTTAGTGGATGATGTGAGTGTAACAGGGTGGCCCAATTGAAACCCTCAGGGAGAAAACACGGTTGGATGTTTTGAAAAATAGCTTTTTTTTTCTTATGAGTGAACTGATAAATGTTTTCCTGAATGGTAATACAAAAATATATATATATACACTACCGGTCAAAAGTTTTAGAACACCTACACATTCAAGGGTTTTTATTTTTTACTATTTTCTACATTGTAGAATAATAGTGAAGACATCAAAACAATGAAATAACACATATGGAATCATTTAGTAACCAAAAAAGTGTTAAACAAATCAGAATATATTTTTATATTTGAGATTCTTCAAAGTAGCCACCCTTTGCCTTGATAACAGCTTTGCACATTTGGCATTCTCTCAACCAACTTCATGAGGTAGTCACCTGGAATGCATTTCATTTAACAGGTGTGCCTTCTTAAAAGTTAATTTGTGGAATTTCTAAATGTGTTTGAGCGAATCAGTTGTGAGGCTGGGGTATACAGAAGATAGCCCTATTTGGGAAAAGACCAATCCATATTATTTCAAGAACAACTCAAATAAGCAAAGAGAAACGACTCCATTACTTTAAGCGATGAAAGTCAGTCAATACGGAAAATTTCAAGAACTTTGAAAGTTTCTTTAAGTGCAGTCGCAAAAAACATCAAGCGCTATGATGAAACTTGCTCTCATGAGGACCGCCACAGGAAAGGAAGACCCAGAGTTACCTCTGCTGCAGAGGATAAGTTCATTAGAGTTACCAGCCTCAGAAATTGCAGCCCAAATAAATGCTTCACAGAGTTCAAGTAACAGACACATCTCAACATCAACTGTTCAGAGGAGACTGTGTGAATCAGGCCTTCATGGTCAAATTGCTGCAAAGAAACCACTACTAACGGACACCAATAAGAAGAGACTTGCTTGGGCCAAGAAACACGAGCAATGGACATTAGACCGGTGGAAATGTGTCCTTTGGTCTGGAGTCCAAATTTGAGATTTTTGGTTCCAACCGCCGTGTCTTTGTGAGACGCGGTGTGGGTGAACGGATGATCTCCAGATGTGTATTTCCCACTGTAAAGCATGGAGGAGGAGGTGTTATGGTGTGGGGTTGCTTTGCTGGTGACACTGTCTGTGATTTATTTAGAATTCAAGGCACACCTCCAGGCTGTGTAAGGGCTATTTTACTAAGAAGGAGAGTAATGGAGTGCTACAATCCCATGACCTCAACCAAATTGAGATGGTTTGGGATGAATTGGACCGCAGAGTGAAGGAAAAGCAGCCAACAAGTGCTCAGCATATGTGGGAACTCCAAGACTGTTGAAAAAGCATTCCAGGTGAAGCTGGTTGAGAGAATGCCAAGAGTGTGCAAAGCTGTCATCAAGGCAAAGGGTGGCTATTTGAAGAATCTCAAATATAACATATATTTTGATTTGTTTAACACTTGTTTGGTTACTACATGATTCCATATGTTATTTCATAGTTTTGATGTCTTCACTATTATTCTACAATGTAGAAAATAGTAAAAATAAAGAAAAACCCTTGAATGAGTAGGTGTTCTTAAAATTTTGACCGGTAGTGTATATAAAACTGTTAAAAATATATATTATAATAATTCATTTTTGTTTGTTTTATGGATCCAGATCAGCTTTAACGGCAATGATAGCCGACGGAGCAGAAACAGGCAATACTCAGGCTCCGACAGCGACTCCGCCTCGGATCGCAAGAGGCCCAAGAAACGAGGACGACCTCGGACCATTCCACGAGAAAACATCAAGGGCTTCAGCGACACTGAGATACGAAGGTAATCACTATATATGGGATGCATCTCAAATGGCACCCTTTTCCCTTTATAGCACTAAATGGGAATAGGGTGCCATTTGGGACACACCCGTGATGTTGTTAAATGTCTTCTATCCTGTGGGAATATGTCCCTGAAAAGTTTTCCCATTAGATTTCATTTGGAGATGTACACTGCTCAAAAAAGTAAAGGGAACACTTAAACAACACAATGTAACTCCAAGTCAATCACACTTCTGTGAAATCAAACTGTCCACTAGGAAGCAACACTGATTGACAATAAATTTCACATGCTGTTGTGCAAATGGAATAGACAACTGGTGGAAATTATAGGCAATTAGCAAGACACCCCCAATAAAGAAGTGGTTCTGCAGGTGGTGACCACAGACCACTTCTCAGTTCCTCTGCTTCCTGGCTGATGTTTTGGTCACTTTTGAATGCTGGCGGTGCTTTCACTCTAGTGGTAGCATGAGACGGAGTCTACAACCCACACAAGTGGCTCAGGTAGTGCAGCTCATCCAGGATGGCACATCAATGCGAGCTGTGGCAAGAAGGTTTGCTGTGTCTGTCAGTGTAGTGTCCAGAGCATGGAGGCGCTACCAGGAGACAGGCCAGTACATCAGGAGACGTGGAGGAGGCCGTAGGAGGGCAACAACCCAGCAGCAGGACCGCTACCTCCGCCTTTGTGCAAGGAGGAGCAGGAGGAGCACTGCCAGAGCCCTGCAAAATGACCTCCAGCAGGCCACAAATGTGCATGTGTCTGCTCAAACGGTCAGAAACAGACTCCATGAGGGTGGTATGAGGGCCCGACGTCTACAGGTGGGGGTTGTGCTTACAGCCCAACACCGTGCAGGACGTTTGGCATTTGCCAGAGAACACCAAGATTGGCAAATTCGCCACTGGCGCCCTGTGCTCTTCACAGATGAAAGCAGGTTCACACTGAGCACATGTGACAGACGTGACAGAGTCTGGAGACGCCGTGGAGAACGTTCTGCTGCCTGCAACATCCTCCAGCATGACCGGTTTGGCGGTGGGTCAGTCATGGTGTGGGGTGGCATTTCTTTGGGGGGCCGCACAGCCCTCCATGTGCTCGCCAGAGGTAGCCTGACTGCCATTAGGTACCGAGATGAGATCCTCAGACCCCTTGTGAGACCATATGCTGGTGCAGTTGGCCCTGGGTTCCTCCTAATGCAAGACAATGCTAGACCTCATGTGGCTGGAGTGTGTCAGCAGTTCCTGCAAGAGGAAGGCATTGATGCTATGGACTGGCCCGCCCGTTCCCCAGACCTGAATCCAATTGAGCACATCTGGGACATCATGTCTCGCTCCATCCACCAACGCCACGTTGCACCACAGACTGTCCAGGAGTTGGCGGATGCTTTAGTCCAGGTGTGGGAGGAGATCCCTCAGGAGACCATCCGCCACCTCATCAGGAGCATGCCCAGGCGTTGTAGGGAGGTCATACAGGCACGTGGAGGCCACACACACTACTGAGCCTCATTTTGACTTGTTTTAAGGACATTACATCAAAGTTGGATCAGCCTGTAGTGTGGTTTTACACTTTAATTTTGAGGGTGACTCCAAATCCAGACCTCCATGGGTTGATACATTTGATTTCCATTTATAATTTTTGTGTGATTTTGTTGTCAGCACATTCAACTATGTAAAGAAAAAAGTATTTAATAAGATTATTTCATTCATTCAGATCTAGGATGTGTTGTTTAAGTGTTCCCTTTATTTTTTTGAGCAGTGTAGAAAATGCACTAATGTCCTGTTGCCTAGACTGTACCTCACAACTCTTTTTGTCTTTCTTTTTTCTACATAGATTTATCAAGAGCTACAAGAAGTTTGGTGGACCACTTGAAAGGTAGAAACAGTGAAACATTGCCTTGGAGAGGAGAAAACGTTGAATTTGACAACTCTTCTCAACATGCCGCCTGACTAATAAACGTGTGTCTCCTTCAGATTGGACGCTATCGCCCGCGATGCCGAGCTGGTGGATAAGTCTGAGTACGACCTGAAGCGCCTGGCGGAGACTGTTCACAACGGCTGCCTGAAGACCCTCAGGGAGAACCCCTGCAGACCAGAGAAGACATCAGGTACTTTTCACTGTCTGTGTGTCTGTCTCTGTGTCGGTCTGTCTCTCTGTGTGTCTCTATCTATCCAGCCATCCCTATCTGTCCACCCATTCATCCTCCTCACTCTACTGCTATTTCAAACAATGTTGAAATCCACTCAAGTTGCTCAAGAGCAGGTTGGAGCAGGTTGTGTTGTTATAGTGCCGCTGGTCACCAATATTAAACCTCTGCCTCGCCACCAGGGGGCAGAAGAGGGAAAGTGAAAGGTCCCACGTTCAGGATCTCGGGCGTCCAGGTGAACGCCAAGCTGGTCATCTCCCACGAGAGGGAGCTGGTGCCGCTCCACAAAGCCATTCCTGCCGACCCTGAGGAGAGGAAGAGGTCCGTCTCGCCACTCAGTCTCTTACCTCAAACATGGCTTGCGTCCCAAATGGCACCCTATTCCCTATTTAGTGCAAGACCTTTTGATCAGGGCCAATAGGAGCCATTTAGCAATGCTGACTTTACTCCTCTACCACACGTTGTATTAACTCTGCTAAAACCAACACAACAGTTAAAAGTTTAAGTTTATTTACACTCACATAGCAGACAATGAAGCCTGAAATCCCTGGGCATGATAAGTAGCATAGACCTATCTAAATCCACAACATGTATTAATTGATAAAAGGACAGACATGACTTTGAGAATGTTGTAAGCACTTTAAAACAAATCTCTACCTACCATGTAAATACATTGCACTTGCCTTTTAACTTCCATGTAAATACAGTGGGGGAAAAAAGTATTTAGTCAGCCACCAATTGTGCAAGTTCTCCCACTTAAAAAGATGAGAGGCCTGTAATTTTCATCATAGGTACACGTCAACTATGACAGACAAAATGAGAAAAATAAATCCAGAAAATCACATTGTATGATTTTTAATGAATTTATTTGCAAATTATGGTGGAAAATAAGTATTTGGTCAATAACAAAAGTTTCTCAATACTTTGTTATATATCCTTTGTTGGCAATGACACAGGTCAAACGTTTTCTGTAAGTCTTCACAAGGTCTTCACACACTGTTGCTGGTATTTTGGCCCATTCCTCCATGCAGATCTCCTCTAGAGCAGTGCTGTTTTGGGGCTGTCGCTGGGCAACACAGACTTTCAATTCCCTCCAAAGATTTTCTATGGGGTTGAGATCTGGAGACTGGCTAGGCCACTCCAGGACCTTGAAATGCTTCTTACGAAGCCACTCCTTCGTTGCCCGGGCGGTGTGTTTGGGATCATTGTCATGCTGAAAGACCCAGCCACGTTTCATCTTCAATGCCCTTGCTGATGGAAGGAGGTTTTCACTCAAAATCTCACTATACATGGCCCCATTCATTCTTTCCTTTACACGGATCAGTCGTCCTGGTCCCTTTGCAGAAAAACAGCCCCAAAGCATGATGTTTCCACCCCCATGCTTCACAGTAGGTATGGTGTTCTTTGGATGCAACTCAGCATTCGTTGTCCTCCAAACACGACGAGTTGAGTTTTTACCAAAAAGTTCTATTTTGGTTTCATCTGACCATATGACATTCTCCCAATCCTCTTCTGGATCATCCAAATGCACTCTAGCAAACTTCAGACGGGCCTGGACATGTACTGGCTTAAGCAGGGGGACACGTCTGGCACTGCAGGATTTGAGTCCCTGGCGGCGTAGTGTGTTACTGATGGTAGGCTTTGTTACTTTGGTCCCAGCTCTCTGCAGGTCATTCACTAGGTCCCCCCGTGTGGTTCTGGGATTTTTGCTCACCGTTCTTGTGATCATTTTGACCCCACGGGGTGAGATCTTGCGTGGAGCCCCAGATCGAGGGTGATTATCAGTGGGCTTGTATGTCTTCCATTTCCTAATAATTGCTCCCACAGTTGATTTCTTCAAACCAAGCTGCTTACCTATTGCTGATTCAGTCTTCCCAGCCTGGTGCAGGTCTACAATTTTGTTTCTGGTGTCCTTTGACAGCTCTTTGGTCTTGGCCATAGTGGAGTTTGGAGTGTGACTGTTTGAGGTTGTGGACAGGTGTCTTTTATACAGATAACAAGTTCAAACAGGTGCCATTAATACAGGTAACAAGTGGAGGACAGAGGAGCCTCTTAAATAAGAAGTTACAGGTCTGTGAGAGCCAGAAATCTTGCTTGTTTGTAGGTGACCAAATACTTATTTTCCACCATAATTTGCAAATAAATTCATAAAAAATCCTACAATGTGATTTCTGGATTTTTTTTTCTCAATTTGTCTGTCATAGTTGACGTGTACCTATGATGAAAATTACAGGCCTCTTTCATCTTTTAAAGTGGGAGAACTTGCACAATTGGTGGCTGACTAAATACTTTTTTCCCCACTGTATATGATTGTTGCATGCATAGTTTTAGGACCACTTGATACGAAATGACACCTACTCTCACTTCCTATGTCTTACTGAATACTGAATCCAAACTCTTCTCTTTTTGTAGGTACACGATTCCGTTTCACTCCAAGGCAGCACACTTTGGCATTGACTGGGGCAAGGAGGACGACTCCAGCCTGCTCATAGGAATCTACGAGTACGGTTACGGCAGCTGGGAAATGATCAAGATGGACCCCGACCTCAACCTGACACACAAGGTGAGTCTGAAAAAAAGCTGGGCGATATGGACTACAATACATATCACAATAAATTGACTGAATTATCACGATAACGATTTCTTAACCCAGAGGCCCAACATCGTGAGACTTCCAGGAACGCTTGCGAAGCAGACTCGGCAGACCAGACTGGGGTTTGTGGTTTGAGAAGTTGATGAGAGAAGTGAAAAATTATTTTCTCAATTTCTAAAGGCAATGTTATTACTCCAACCTCGTCAAAGTGACAAACTGAAATGTTTTCATTTTCGTCAAAACGATTTTATATCAAAGAAGTGCCTTTGATTTGACGGCATGCAGATGCGCAGTTCTGCGCTACACGACCGTTAGACCAATTTGTGTTTCTGCGCATGAGCTTAGCTAGCTAACGTCGCCATGACATTGCCTACAAGCGTGATCAGGGATTTCTATTGTAGAAGCAGTTTCTACTTATCTTCGTACTAAACCATCTTTGACGAAATGTTTCTAACATTTATGTGGACCACAGCTACTTTTTTATATTACGTTCAAAACGAATACTACTACTGCTTTGAATGTTGTAGCTATTAATTGTCCCGTTCACAATCACCCGTATTAGCAGACTTATTACATTTCACATTTCTCTAGAACAGGCTACTTATCGTAATTAATGTCCCAGTGCTGTCAAAAATGTGATTTTCCTGTGTGTTATATGTATTTCCACACTGAGGTTGTAATAATACTGTGAAATTGTGAAAATTATGAAAGTACCCTTTTAGTGTAAGAGCTGTTTGAAAAGACCGCCTGAAATCTCTGCCTGTTTTGGTGGGATGGAGTTTTGGTCTGCCTGGTGACGCAGTAAATTAGATAATAGACCAATAAGATAGAGTTCCAAACCTCTATGCCAATAACAGCTCGTTTTTAGTTTTCCCCTCCCAACTCAGACCACTCCCAGACAGTTCTAGCAAAATTCTTGCTTGAGAAATTGCTCTTTGCCAAGATTTTTTTTTTAATTGTTACCCAGAAATGATTTGATATTGAGATAAAAACATCTGCATTGGACCTTTAACAATATTAGTAAAATGTCATCAATAATTGCTCGGTACATTCGGTGTTGGTCATTTTTGGTTCATCGTCCCAGCTCACAGGGTCTCACTTTATAGGGGAACTGAAAATGTCATTGCCTTTGTTATAGTTGTATTAATTTACGCATCCGTTGCTTCGTGTGAACCAGCTCCTGCCAGACGACCCTGACAAGAAGCCACAGGCCAAGCAACTGCAGACGAGAGCGGACTACCTCATCAAATTATTGAGCAAGGACCTGGCCAAAAAGGAAGTACAGAGGCAAACAGGGACAGTAAGTGGCCATGACTGGCTGGATCACGGTTGTCTATGCAAAGTCTGTGTCCTATAGTACATCTCCTTTTCTATTGGCTCGTGTCATTTTTAGTTTCACCAAATATCATTAGATTCCACCTCCATGTGTTTCTTTTTTTGAACCTACAGTTCCACTATAATAAGATAAGTTTTAACCACTCATTTGAGGGACATTTAAAAGTAGGCATTCCTGGTGAAATCCTAGTATGTGGATAGTCTTGAAGCGTTGAATAAAGTCTTAAATTGTTATCTAAAAGTCCAGAATTAAAGCTACAGTCTGGGATTCGAAAAACACAACGCTTTTGCCACTTGTTTTTGATAAACAGCTGAGGAATGAGGCGAGGGAAATGTAGCTCTTTAAATTCATCAACAGTGCTCGAGATACTGACAGTCCTTCAGATCCCAAATTATAGTTTAAACCATGGTTTGAACCTATATATTGTTTACAATGACATTGTTTGCAAACAATGGAGTAAACAAGGTTATATGTTCGGGTAAGACTGTACTAGACTAATGAGGCACTGATAAGTTATGATATTCAACAATCAATGGCTTTATATCAAGGCTGTTAAACTGAGACTCAGCGATATGATGAATCACAGATATTGTAGATGAGCCCGATGTAAGACGAGGCTCTTTGAGTGTCTGTGCTCATGCAGAGATGCACTTCACTCTGCAACAATGTGATAGCTGCAGGACCAAAACAGCTAAGAAGTTTGGCCTCGTGCTTCACGCTCTTAGTTGTTGCAGAAGTCAGCCCAATATTGCTGTTTTACTTTGTGCATTGCTGACTCTACCTTTAAGTCCAGAAATGGATGTACCAATCCCTGGCTAGCTAAAGAATGTTGTTGATTCTCCTGAGTTTTACAAAATGTGCCATTTGGTCAGAGTAGGCCTCTTTGTCATGCCTGGTCTCTGTGACAGAGTGCCAGTTCCTCGTAATAACATGTCAACCGGTTTTAGTTGGTGTCAAAAACAGTGTGAGTTATGACAAATTTACTGCAGCTTTGCGGTCTCATACTGGCATCCTGCGATGTAAACAACGTGTCAAGTGTCTCTATGAAGACTATCGTGAATAGTCAATACTAGTGCATTGCTGGCTGCCGAAAGGAGCTTTATAAGAAGGTAACGGTATCATTCCTAATGATTCTATATGTAATTCTATGTACAGTGAGGGGAAAAAGTATTTGATCCCCTGCTGATTTTGTACGTTTGCCCACTTACAAAGAAATGATCGGTCTATAATTTTAATGGTAGGTTTATTTGAACAGTGAGAGACAGAATAACAACAAAAAAAATCAAGAAAAACGCATGTCAAAAATGTTATCAATTGATTTGCATTTTAATGAGGAAAATAAGTATTTGACCCCATCTCAATCAGAAAGATTTCTGGCTCCCAGGTGTCTTTTATACAGGTAACGAGCTGAGTTTAGGAGCACACTCTTAAAGGGAGTGCTCCTAATCTAAGTTTGTTACCTGTATAAAAGACACCTGTCCACAGAAGCAATCAATCGATCAGATTCCAAACTCTCCACCATGGCCAAGACCAAAGAGCTCTCCAAGGATGTCAGGGACAAGATTGTAGACCTACACAAGGCTGGAATGGGCTACAAGATCATCACCAAGCAGCTTGGTGAGAAGGTGACAACAGTTGGTGCGATTATTCGCAGATGGAAGAAACACAAAATAACTGTCAATCTCCCTCGGCCTGGGGCTCCATGCAAGATCTCACCTTGTGGAGTTGCAATGATCATGAGAACGGTGAGGAATCAGCCCAGAACTACACGGGAGGATCTTGTCAATGATCTCAAGGCAGCTGGGACCATAGTCACCAAGAAAACAATTGGTAACACATTACGCCGTGAAGGACTGAAATCCTGCAGTGCCTGCAAGGTCCACCTGCTCAAGAAAGCACATATACAGGCCCGTCTGAAGTTTGCCAATGAACATCTGGATGATTCAGAGGAGAACTGGGTGAAAGTGTTGTGGTCAGATGAGACGAAAATCGAGCTCTTTGGCATCAACTCAACTCGCCGTCTTTGGAGGAGGAGGAATGCTGCCTATGACCCCAAGAACCCCATCCCCACCGTCAAACATGCAGGTGGAAACATTATGCTTTGGGGGTGTTTTTCTGCTAAGGGGACAGGTCAACTTCACCGCATCAAAGGGACGATGGACGGGGCCATGTACCGTCAAATCTTGGGTGAGAACCTCCTTCCCTCAGCCAGGACATTGAAAATGGGTTGTGGATGGGTATTCCAGCATGACAATGACCCAAAACACACGGCCAAGGCAACAAAGGAGTGGCTCAATAAGAAGCACATTAAGGTCCTGGAGTGGCCTAGCCAGTCTCCAGACCTTAATCCCATAGAAAATCTGTGGAGGGAGCTGAAGGTTTGAGTTGCCAAACGTCAGCTTCGAAACCTTAATGACTTGGAGAAGATCTGCAAAGAGGAGTCGGACAAAATCCCTCCTGAGATGTGTGCAAACCTGGTGGTCAACTACAAGAAACGTCTGACCTCTGTGATTGCCAACAAGGGTTTTGCCACCAAGTACTAAGTCATGTTTTGCAGAGGGGTCAAATACTTATTTCCCTCATTAAAATGCAAATCAATTTATAACATTTTTGACATGCGTTTTTTTGTAATTTTTTTGTTGTTATTCTGTCTCTCACTGTTCAAATAAACCTACCATTAAAATTATAGACTGATCATGTCTTTGTCAGTGGGCAAACGTACAAAATCAGCAGGGGATCAAATACTTTTTTCTCTCACTGTATGGACCAATGATTGAACTGGCTTTGGCTATCAGACACATCTAACTCCCAATTGTGGCAAATATAATCACCAGGAGGATCATTTTCACACACTTTAAACATATTAACAAAATCGCAACTGATTTGTACCAGTAAAAGCGTCTGGTGTGGCATGGAAAGTCAAAAACCCAGGACACATTCTATTTCAAGGGGCCCACGTGTTTTTTTTAATGAGTTGCAAAGAATTATGATTGTTTTCACCTTTTGTTGTTGTAGGCCAACTCGCGGACAAGGAAACTGAGTAAGAAGAACAAAGCTGTGAAGCCAGCCGAAGTGGACGAAGTGGTGAAGAGTCTGTCCTCGGAGCCCCCCTCAGAGAAGTCCTCAGAGGACGAGATTGAGGAGGAAAAGGTATGTAGGAGAATGATTCTTCCCTAGCTATAGATCATTCATCAGCTTTCCCTCCCCCAATCCTAGCCTTAAGGACTTCCTCCAGTGATTTTGAACTTTCCCTGTTGGCACAGTGGTCTAAGGCACTGCATCGCATTGCTAGCTGTGCCACTAGCGATCCTGGTTCGAGTCAGGCTCTGTCGTAGCCGGCTGCGATCGGGAGACCCATGGGGCGGCGCACAATTGGCCCAGCGTCGTCCAGGTTAGAGGAGGGAATGGCCGGCAGGGATGTAGCTCAGTTGGTAGAGCATGGCGTTTGCAACGCCAGGGTTGTGGGTTCGATTCCCACGGGGGGCCAGTATGAAAAATAAATAAATGCAAATGTATGCTCTGGATAAGAGCGTCTGCTAAATGACTAAAATGTAAATGTAAAATGTAAAAGTGATATCCCAAGTATAAATGCAGTACACACACTAAAGGGTAAAAAAAAAAAATTGTGTTCTTTTTAGACACAACTGCAAACTTCAAGGAGTAGAGCATTCAAGGAGTTGGTCTGATGGGAATTTGTGATGTCATTGGCCTCCCCCATTGCTTGAGTAACAATAGAGAACAAAAGAGGAAAGGCTCACCCCCCACTCGTACCATGTCATGACATACCTGGAGTGCCACTTTAACCATTAGTGGGGTAAATGCAGAACTGACCCAAGATCAGAGTCTAGGGGAGGGCTGTTCAATTCCGGTCCTGGAGGGCCGAAACACTTCAGGTTTTTGTTTCTACCTGGTAGATAATTGCGCTCACCTGATTTCCCAGGTCTGATTCAGTCCCTGATTAGAAGGATAGGATGAACACCAGAAGTGTTTTGGCCCTCCAGGATTGACATTGAACACCCCTGGTCTAGTGGCAACTTCCCCCTACTTCGACTATGATAGAATACTCCTTAAGGCTGTGGATAGTAGACAAGGGATCCCTTTACCTTTCCCTGTTGTCTTCTTTTGGGCTAATAATAACTAATAATACTAATAATAACCTTTTTTGACATATCTAAATGTGCCACTTAACACAAGTGTAGACTGTTACAATAAAAATAGCAATGAGTGAGTGATCAAATAAACTCAGTAATCAGTCAACTAAACTCAATGAATGGGCCCAGTCTGAAAATCACCTTGTCTAGGGTGTGGGCCTTACAGTACTGTTGTCCGTTAAGGTTATTGCCTGCTCTGTATGGCAGTTTGACTAAACCCATTTGCCCACAAGCATGGTTATATAATTCAGTTTTTAAAGTAACTGTCCAGTGAAAAGCTCACTTCTAAAAGCTAATATTCTGTTAAGTCATACCCAAATAATGTTGATGACTCACCGTATAGTTGTATTTGCGGCCAAAGCATACATTTGACAAAACCCCTTAAAAAAAAAACACCTCAAACTAGGGCTGGGCGATATATCGAATTCATTAGATTAATTTGAATTGATGTTTTAGCAAGATTTTACAAATGCCTGTATCGCAAGAAACTAGTTAATTTTTTATTTTCTTCATTTTGTCAGCTTGTTCTCGTGTTGTCTATTTGGTCTCGTATCCTTCGCTCCTTCTGCTGTGATTGTGCACCTTCCCATTTACACACACACACACACACACACACAAAGCTCTTGCCCCTGCCACTCGCTATTTGCATTTGAGATTTGGTCCAACAGAATCGCTCATATGGACACCGAAACACATTGAGGCATTATTTTACTGTAACAGAGGAGAACATAAGCTTTCTAACTATACCCTTTTTATGTCTCAACTCCTCAAATTGCGCGACTAGCACACCCTAATAATACGGGAGGATCAATTAAAATTGATTTTGGAAAATGAATGCTCAGTTTCTGTCGTGTACCGCTAATAGCATTTTAGCCACAGACTGTTATACTAGCTGTCTGTGTTTTTATAAATGTGCAAAGAGCATAAAAAACAATTATGTAAGGAATTTGCAACTCTTTCTCATTCGGAGAAAAAAGGTAGGCCGCTTGATTTCAACAGGTGCACGCTGTTCAAACAGTTGGAGACGGACAGAAGGGTGTGTTCATAACAATTCAACTGTTCTACCTCGTTAGCTAGCAAATAGATCCAAGTTGGCTAGACTTTAAATATAAAGATTAGCTTGCTACTCACTAGCACGTGGGCTTGTGCTTGAGAGATTGTTTATGAGACCTGTGTAAATGTTCTATAATGCCTGCTACAAGGAGTTGGTCATTATTAGTGAATGTGCATTATGCATGGTTCTGGTCAAATTTATAACATAAATGGCATTTTCATAGACAGACTTGAAAGCCAGATCAGTGATTATTGCAAAAAAGCAGGTTAAACTATTTTGATCAAATAATTAAGTGATTAGTGGGTCTTATGATTGTGGAAAGCTTATACAGTGCATTCGGAAAGTATTCAGACCCCTTGACTTTTTCCACATTGTGTTACGTTACAGCCTTATTCTAAAATGGATTAAAATGTTTTTTTCCCCTCATCAATCTACACACAATACCCCATAATGACAAAGCAAAAACAGGTTTAAAAATAAAAGCAGGAAAAAAATTAGATATTACATATAAATATTCAGACCCTTTACTCAGTACTTTGAAGCACCTTTGGCAGCGATTACAGCCTCAAGTCTTCTTGGGTCTTCTACAAGCTTGGCACACTTGAATTTGGGGAGTTTCTCCCATTCTTCTCTGCAGATCCTCACAAGCTCTGTCAGGTTGGATGGGGAGCGTTGCTGCACAGCTATTTTCAGGTATCCAGTGATGTTCGATCGGGTTCAAGGACATCCATAGACTTGTCCCGAAGCTACTCCTGCATTGTCTTGGCTGTGTGTTTAGGGTCGTTGTCCTGTTGGAAGGTGAATCTTCGCCCCAGTCTGAGGTCCTGAGCGCTCTGGAGCAGGTTTTCATCAAGGATCTCTCTGTACTTTGCTCCGTTCATCTTTCCCTCGATCCTGACTAGTCTCCCAGTCCCTGCCGCTGAAAAACATCCCCACAGAATGATGCTGCCACCACCATGCTTCACCGTAGGGATGGTGCCAGGTTTCCTCCAGACGTGACGCTTGGCATTCAGTCCAAAGAGTTCAATCTTGGTTTCATCAGACCAGAGAATTGTCATGGTCTGAGAGTCCTTTAAGCGGGCTGTCATGTGCCTTTTACTGAGGAGTGGCTTCTGTCTGGCCACTCTACCATAAAGGCCTGATTGGTAGAGTGCCGCAGAGATGGTTGACCTTGTTGAAGGTTCTACCATCTCCACAGAGGAACTCTGGAGCTCTGTCAGAATGACCATCGGGTTCTTGGTCACCTCCCTGACCAAGGCCCTTCTCCCCCGATTGCTCAGTTAGGCCGGGCAGCCAGCTCTAGGAAGAGTCTTGGTGGTTCCAAAATGATGGAGGCCACAGTGTTCTAGGGGACCTTCAATGCATCGAGGCAGTCTGTAGCTATGCTAACCATCTCTCTCTCTCTCTCTCCCAGGAGGTGGTCCCAGTGAAGTCGCCGCCCAGAAGGGGCCGAGCGGAGCGCATGGTGGTGAAGGAGGAGGAGGAGAAGCCTGAGCCAGAGAAGGTGCCCTCGCCGCCCGAGGAGAAAAGGGAGCCCAAAGAAAGGGAGATTAAAAAGGAGAAGGAGGAGAGCCGGGAGGTGAAAGAGAAGGAGCTTAAAGAGAAGAAGGACACCAAGCATGTGGAGCCAGTACATAAACAGGAAGAGGTCACAGGGGAGAAGGTAAGACATCGCCACGTTGGGAATAGTCAGAAAGGATTGAAAAACGTGCAGTTCGTTGCACTGCAAATATGAAACTAAATAAATAAGCACTAAAGTCAGTCAGGTACGGCTTTTACGGCGTCTTATTACACGGTTTATAATAAGTTATGTCTCTCTACGTAGAAAATCTTCATCTTTACGATTGTCATTTATTTATTGTCATTTTGTGGTTAGCAGCCGTGCGAGGTGAAGGCTGAGGTACGAGATAAGGTGAAGAAGGCCTCAGACACTCCAGTCCACATCACAGCAGGAGACGAGAACGTGCCCATCTCAGAAGAGTCGGAGGAACTCGACCAGAAGACCTTCAGTGTGGTGAGTCACGTGTCAGTGACGCAACTATGTCAAAAACACAACGTCCACTCAGTCAGTGAGTCAAAATGTCAACAAATGAGTCATGACGTCTAGGATCCAAGTCGAAGCGTCTAGGGACCTAGTCGAAACGTCTACATTTACATTTTAGTGATTTAGCAGACGCTCTTATCCAGCGACTTACAGGAGCAATTAGGGTTAAGTGCCTTTTTTAAGGGCACATCGACAGATTTTTCACCTAGTCGGCTCGTGGATTAGAACCAGCGACCTTTCGGTTACTGGCACAATGCTCTTACCCACTAAGCTACATGCCGCCCTGACTAGGGACCTAGTCGAAGCGTCTAGGGACCGAGTCCAAACGTCTAGGGACCGAGTCCAAACGTCTAGGAACCGAGTCAAAACCCTAGTCAAAATGTATAGGGAGCTAGTCAAAACTCCAATGGTCAGAAAATGCTGTAAATTTGTCCAATTGATCTAGTATTTGTATTGATATTTGTCATGGTAACTCAAATACCATCTTGCCAATGTTGGCCCTCCAAACACTGTATATATCCTGTCTGTGTGTCCCTCAGTGCAAGGAGAGGATGCGACCGGTCAAGGCGGCCCTGAAGCAGCTGGACCGGCCGGAGAAGGGCCTATCGGAACGCGAGCAGCTGGAGCACACGCGCCAGTGCCTCATCAAGATCGGAGACCACATCACTGAGTGTCTCAAGGAGTACTCCAACCCCGAGCAGATAAAACAGTGGAGAAAGTAAGGCGCTCTATATATTTTATTTATTTATTTATTAGAATCCCTATTAGCTGTTGTTACTAAAGCAACTACTCTTCCTGTGGTCCACAATATAAGTTCACGATATGAGTGCACGTTCAAAGTTTTGTTATAATCAATTTGCAGATTGAGATCAAGCCCTCTTTGAAATACATGATATTGACATTTATTTTTGTCATACCTTTGGTTATTGTCTGATATACACACAGCTGGAATGCTGTTGTATTCAGGATCCAAACTACCCGGTTTATTAATACAAACAACAACGTCATTACATCCTTAGGGAAATTGGACAGGCATGGCATTGGCAAACTAACTGAATGTTCATTTACTGTTTGAAGTTTTGTAACGTTTCATTACTATGGGTATAAAGACAATTCATAATCCAATTCAAAACTTGCCTTGAGGCTACAGGTACAGTGCCTTGCAAAAGTATTCATCCCCCATAGCGTTTTTCCTATTTTGTTGCATTACAACCTGTAATTTAAATGGATTTTTATTTGGATTTCATGTAATGGATATACACAAAATAGTCCAAATTGGTGAAGTTAAATGAAAGTAATAACTTGTTTTAAAAAATTCGACCAAATAAATAACGGAAAAGTGGTGCGTGCATATGTATTCACCCCCTTTGCTAAGAAGCCCCTAAATAAGATTTTGTGCAACCAATTACCTTCAGAAGTCACATAATTAGTTAAATAAAGTCCACCTGTGTGCAATCTAAGTGTCACATGATCTGTCACATGATCTCAGTGTATATATACACCTGTTCTGAAAGGCCCCAGAGTCTGCAACACCACTAAGCAAGGGGCACCACCAAGCAAGCGGCTTCATGAAGACCAAGGAGCTATCCAAACAGGTCAGGGACAAAGTTGTGGAGAAGTACAGATCAGGGTTGGGTTATAAAAAAATATCTGAAACTTTAAACATCCCACGATGCACCATTTTTTAAATCCATTATTAAAAAATGGAACTAATATGGTACCACAACAAACCTGCCAAGAGAGGGCCGCCCACCAAAACTCACGGACCAGGCAAGGAGGGCATTAATCAGAGAGGCAACAAAGAGACCAAAGATAACCCTGAAGGAGCTGCAAAGCTCCACAGCGGCGATTGGAGTATCTGTCCATAGGACCACTTTAAGCCGTACACTCCACAGAGCTGGGCTTTGCGGAAGAGTGGCCAGAAAAAAGCCATTGCTTAAAGAAAAAGATAAGCAAACATGTTTGGTGTTTGCCAAAAGGCATGTGGGAGACTCCCCAAACATATGGAAGAAGGTACTCTGGTCAGATGAGACTAAAATTGAGCTTTTTGGCCATCAAGGAAAACGCTATGTCTGGCACAAACCCAACACCTCTCATCACCCCAAGAACACCATCCCCACAGTGAGGCATGGTGGTGACAGCATCATGCTGTGGGGATGTTTTTAATCGGCAGGGACTGGGAAACTGGTCAGAATTGAAGGAATGATGGATGGCGCTAAATACAGGGAAATTCTTGAGGGAAACCTGTTTCAGTCTTCGAGAGATTTGAGACAGGGACAGAGGTTCACCTTCCAGCAGGACAATGACCCTAAGCAAACTGCTAAAGCAACAGTCGAGTGGTTTAAGGGGAAACATTTAAATGTCTTGGAATGGCCTAGTCAAAGCCCAGACCTCAATCCAATTGAGAATCTGTGGTATGACTTAAAGATTGCTGTACACCGATGGAACCCATCCAACTTGAAGGAGCTGGAGCAGTTTTGCCTTGAAGAATGGGCAAAATCCCAGTGGCTAGATGTGCCAGGCTTATAGAGACATACCCCAAGAGACTTGCAGCTGTAATTGCTGCAAAAGGTGGCTCTACAAAGTATTGACTTTGGGGGGGTGAGTAGTTATGCACGCTGAAGTTTTCTGTTTTTTGTCTTACTTCTTATTTCACAAGAAAAAAATATTTTGCATCTTCAAATGATACAAACCCCCAAAAAATCCATTTTAATTCCAGGTTGTAAGGCAACAAATATGAAAAATGCCAAGGGGGGTGAATAGTTTCGCAAGCCACTGTTTGTGATGCCGCGGTCAGACGCGCTTTAAAAGCAACCAAAAAAGGAAAATCAAAAGCTTCAACAGTATAAAAACCAACAAACAAATGTATTTTCCAAACAAAGGTAATTTCCTAGGCTATGTTCCATCCATGATCAAAGCCAAAGCGATCTGATATAAACGGTAAACAAAAGGGTATAGACTAGTAGCAGCTTTCTTAGTTCCAAGTATTAGCAGTCAAAAACTGTATTGTACCGCCATACCGGAGGCCTGGCTGAGCAATACTACCAAAGCACTAAATATGTATACGAAAGGGGAAAGGGGTGTGCCCAGGAGAGGCTCCGTATTGCTTTTAAATTATTGCTTTTAAATACCCATGATAGCCATAGTAGAAAACCAAAAACATGAGTTCAACAACCATACTCCATAATTTATAATGCAATATTCATACTTATATTTAATAAATCAATATTTCCTGATTTCGAATTAGGCTAATCAATTAAAGTGAGACTGAAAGTAAGGGAATTTGGCTCCAACATTTCTGCCCCTAGTCCCATCAAAACAATTACAACTGTCAAAACATAGAGGGAGGCAAAGTTCAATAGTCCATTAGGAGAAAATAAAATATAGATATCTTTAGTAATGTGTGTGTTCCAAGGAATGTCAGTATGCATGTGGGTGTACGGGGGATGAAAAGGGGTGTGTGGTTTGCTATGCGGGGGCCTCCAGCAGCAGACATACACTACATGACCAAAAGTATGTGGACACCTGCTCATCGAACATTTCATTCCACAATCATGGGCATTAATATGGAGTTGGTCCCCCCTCCACTCTTCTGGGAAGGTTTTCCACTAGATGTCGGAACATTGCTGTGGGGACTTGCTTCTATTCAGCCACAAGAGAATTAGTGAGGTCGGGCACTGATGTTGTGCGATTAGGTCTGGATCGCTGTCGGAGTTCCAATTCATCCCAAAGGTGTTCGATGGGGTTAAGGTCAGGGCTCTGTGCAGGCCAGTCAAGTTCTTCCACACCGACCTCGCTTTGTGCACGGGAGCAGGATAGCTGGGTGCTTAGATTGTGCTGGCATAGCTGACCTGCTCAATCTACCTCCTACTCTCATCACATCAGACCATCTTGGAACACTAGAGACAGTTTGAAGATGGCTGTTCCTTTTTACCATTGAGCCTTTCTTCAGAGCTACCATTTCATATGGAATACATTCTCCTCTGACAAAAACAAACAATTTGATCTTCTGCATCCATGAGCTTGTCCACAGAGACCTTTTGAACAGTGTTCTTTTCTAGCCCTTCAATTGCTTCTCCATCATATTCTTGTTTTCCTCATCTTTTTGTCCCAAACTTAGATTATTTCTTTTCTCACACACTTTCTCACACGCTTTAATGCACTTTTAACCTTTAGGATCCATGCAACCACTCTTCTGAGGCGGTGCCACTCCAAGTAGTGAGAAATGAGGTTAGAGTTTGATCTGGCATTCCAACTCTGGCTGCGTTAGGAAGTCTGGTCCTGAAATCCATGTCTCATTTTTCAGGAAGACTTTTGCTGAGACACATCTGGAGGCATAGTTAGTAGGGTTCAGCAAAGTATTCACGTCTCCACTGAGACACATCTGAAGCTTCCCTAATGGCAGTGGCTCTGTTAGCAACAAAGGTGTGAAATCTTGCAGTATCATTTCTGACATATTTTAAGACCGATGTGCTGTGAGTCCAAAGAACTGATGGTTTGAGTGATAGCTCCAACTCTGCTCTCATCATCTTGTCCACACGTACAGCAACTGTGGCAGCTGTGAGCACCATACGTGGTATGGTGACTGTTTTTAATGGTGCGACCCTGGCCTTACCCATGATGAAAGCACAGTGAACTTAACGCTCTCTGTTATTCAACAACAGGTAAGTGACAGTGCTATAACCATTCTCACTGGCATCAGCAAAGTGATGGACTTGAGCGAAAACTGGTTCTCCAAAATCACTGAGTTTGATGCATCTCTTGACCTCGTAGTCAGACAGCTGGTTCAGATCCATCAACCAGTTACACCATCTTAGAACCAGAACTTCAGGGATGCTCTTATCCCATCCAAGTTTCATCCTGCACAGATCTTGCAATATACCGAGCGGGTCATAAACAGAGCTCACCATAGAAAGAAGGCCTCTTCTGTTAAGTGGTCTGTCCTTCATTAATATTTTGAACTTTAGTGAGTCCGATTCAACGCAGCAGTGTACTCCAAGGGCTCTTTCTACTGGTAGCATGTCCTGATCCAAGTCCAAATCCTTTATCTCCTTTGCTGTCTCCTCTTCAGGAATAGAGGCAATAACAACTCAACTGTTGCTGATCCATTTGTTCAGTCTTAAGCCTCCTTTAGCACACAAGTTTGTGAGGTCCTGAGTAAGTGTCAAGGCTTCATCCTCACTTGCCATTGACTTTAGACAGTCATCCACGTTGAAGTTTCTCAGAACTGCTTCTGACTTGAAACTGTCTGTGTGGTCCTTTTGCACATTGCTTCAGAGCACAACTGGCACATTGGAGATGAAATGGCCTCAAAGATATGCATCACCATTTTGTACTCCTCCAGCTCCTTTTCCAGATCTCCATTTGGCCACCAGAGAAAATTCAGAAGGTCTGTATCCTGCCCTGGTGGAACATGGCTTCAATGTCTGCCATGGAGGCAACAGGCTCTTGGCGAAATCAGGACAAAATACAAGTAAGACAGTTTGTCAAGTCTGGGCCCTGTAGAAGCTGAGCATTCAGTGGTGTCTCTTGATAGGCGGCTCCACATTCAAATACCACCCTTAGCTTGTGCTTTTTGGGATGATATACACCGTGGTGTGGGATTTAACAAACTCTCTTGCTGCTGTCATTCTGAGAGTCTCTTGGCACCTTCACTGCAAAGCCTTTGTCTGTCATGAACTTGGTGTAGTCCTCACAGAACTGAGGATTCTTGCTGAGTTTTCTTTTCAGGTTGAGAGCACGCTGTACTGCCACACAGTGGTTGTTAAGAAATTCAGCATCCTCATTCATGGCTGACTGAGAGACACGCTCCATGAAGAGATGGTCTTCTCTTGACATTTCAAGCTGCTCCTCATGGTGGCGCTCTGGGAAGCCATGCTTAAAAACCTGTTGCTGAAGCAGCTCTTCCAGCTCTACGACAAAGATTATGTGTGCCATTATATGAGACTGCCCATAGGTGGAGACATTGCCCTTTTTTAGAGGCCCATTCACAATCCAGCGCAGTGGTTTTCACAGCGTATAGGCCCTCTCCTTGGCTGTACTGCCCGAATCTAGAAAGACATGTTTCCACTGTTCTCGTACTTTTTTCCATTTTCACCCTCACAGGCACGATGGCTTGGATGCAATCAGGATCCCCGGCCCAAGTGTGACTCCCAGCATCTCCATCCAATTTAAAAAACGCACTGGTAACACTGCTCTCTGTTTTCATTGCTTTTGCAGCTGTTAACCTCTTTGTAGGTGATGTGCAACATGGTTGGATGTTTACATGAACACACTTTACAAGGAAGTCTTTGCATCCTTTGCTCATGTGTCCAGGGGTCAGACAACCAAAACAGACTCCCTTGTTCTTCAAAAAGTCCAACTTCTCTTGATGTGACTTCTTGTTCAGTTCTGTGCACGTGCCTAGTTCTCTTTGACAGAATGGACACTGCCTGAGTGCCACACCAGAGTTATTGCCAACCCAGCTCTTCTCTGTTTTCACAGCTGGTGTGACGCTGGTGGCAAAACCAAAACCACTTTCTCACTTTCAGAACACTTGGCCTACTCACAGGTCCTGAACCTCCCATCACTGCTGCAGTGGGGGTTTCCGTTATGTTTACAAATACAGGATGACATGCTATCCTGGCTTGGCGATCAACAAAGGTAACCAGATCAGCAAACCTGGCTCTCCTTCCATTTCTCTCCTGTAGGTCATAAGCCGCCCCTCCCTGTTTTTCTTTCATATTATACGGCAGCTTTGAGACTATGGCTCTCATATTTGATGGGCTGACCATTTCCTCCATATGTTGAACAGTATCCATAGTGTTGCAGCATCCAGTGAGAGAAACTACAAAGGCTTGTAGGGATTCTGAAACTTCAACCTTGATTGGTGACCAGCTTAGAGCTTTCTCAATGTAAGCTTTGGCGATTCTATACTTATCTCCAAAGAGTTTTTTCAGAAGCTGTTTGGCCTCTGCATACTCTGTCACCCTCCATATGTTGGCAAATGCAGACTAGATCTCTGGATTGCCCCATGGTGAAATGCCAAAAAGGACAGCCTGTCTTTGCTGTTCTTGATCCTATCTTCAATAGCATGTTCAAAGGCACGTACAAATAACCTGTAGTCTAGTGGGTCACCCTTAAACACTGGTACACTAAGAGGTGGTAATGAGGACAACCTTTGCTGCCTTACCAGTGTTTCAGTGATATCATTTTGGTGTTGCATAATGTTGACGATACTGCCCATGTCAGCTCCACCCTGATCTGGGTTGATAGACAGCTGCCACTTCCAACTAGAGGAGGAAGGCCTATCTTTTGGTCTTACAACAGGTGGTATGTGGTGGTAGCACGTTGTTGCAACATACTACTTTGACCCTGGCCCTATGCAGTATGAACAGACGTGGTGAACAATGAGGATCCCAGGTCAGCCATGGTGTGTGATTGTCTGCTATGGAGACCTGTGACAACCTGAGTGGTGGTGGGCACCTTTTTTTCTTTGAGTAACCTTCCCTGAGGTATCCTCGGGCCTTCCCATTAAATTAAAGTAATTGTGCATTCCTTCCTCTGATTTGTTTCCCATTCCTTGAGTGGCTTCATACATTCAGCTTAGCACTGTTAGCCAATATTTCAGCTTCTAGCTCCAATTCTTTTTCCTTAAGTTCCTTAAGTTTCCATTGGATCCATTGTAAAGGCAGGTTATAGCACTGAACATCAATCCCATTCAATTCCATTGATTTGCATCCGTCAGCACAGTATGAACACATTTTAGCACGGCGCAGCTTAATGAATGAGCCCAACACATGACGTTATCACAACACCGATACGACAGCCAATCAGCAAAGCGTCCACTTTTCTCTCCGCTCCACAGTGAGCTCTCAACTCCGAGCGCAAATCGAACAACAGACACGCGATTCCAAGCTCCAATTCTCAAAAGTTCCATGAATTCATCCAACAACACATCAAGCATATTGAGCAATAGAAAGAGCAACCACAATTCACTCCCCTCTCTCCACAGTGAGAAGCGCAAATCAAACAGTCAGAGCTTCAATAGCATAAATCAATAGCGTCACTTGGAATATACAGTAGAGTAGCAGCGCTTGTTTTACCTTGTTCGAATTCAATCTTTACCTCCAATCCATTAATCGGCTTTCCATCCAGCGATAGTTTTTGACAAATATAAAGGCAATACGTAATCCAATTCTAAACTTGCCTCAAGGCTACAGGTATGTGTGTGATGCTGCGGTCAGATACGCTTCCAAAGCAACCAAAAAAGGAGAATCAAAAGCTTCCAATAGTATAAAAACAAACATTTATTTTACAAGCAAAGGTAATTTCATAGGCTATGTTCCATCCATGACCAAAGCCAAAGCGATCGGATTTAAAGGGTTAACAAACGGGTATAGACTAGTAGCAGCTTTCTTAGTTCCAAATATTAACTGTAAGGTACCACCACACTTGAGGCCTGGCTGAGCCATACTACTAGGGGAACATGGGGGGGAAAGGGGTGTGCCCAGGAGAGGCTCCATATTGCTTTTAAAAACCCATGATAACCATAATAGAAAACCAAAAACATGAGTTCATCAACCATACTCCATAATGAATTATGTAATATTGATACTTACAGTGGGGAGAACAATTATTTGATACACTGCCGATTTTGCAGGTTTTCCTACTTACAAAGCATGTAGAGGTCTAATTTTTATCATAGGTACACTTCAACTGTGAGAGACGGAATCTAAAACAAAAATCCAGAAAATCACATTGTATGATTTTTAAGTAATTAATTTGCATTTTATTGCATGACATAAGTATTTGATCACCTACCAACCAGTAAGAATTCTGGCTCTCACAGACCTGTTAGTTTTTCTTTAAGAAGCCCTCCTGTTCTCCACTTATTACCTGTATTAACTGCACCTGTTTGAACTCGTTACCTGTATAAAAGACACCTGTCCACACACTCAATCAAACAGACTCCAACCTCTCCACAATGGCCAAAACCAGAGAGCTGTGTAAGGACATCAGGGATAAAATTGTAGACCTGCACAAGGCTGGGATGGGCTACAGGACAATAGGCAAGCAGCTTGGTGAGAAGGCAACAACTGTTGGCGCAATTACTAGAAAATGGAAGAAGTTCAAGATGACGGTCAATCACCCTCAGTCTGGGGCTCCATGCAAGGTCTCACCTCGTGGGGCATCAATGATCATGAGGAAGGTGAGGGATCAGCCCAGAACTACACGGCAGGACCTGGTCAATGACCTGAAGAGAGCTGGGACCACAGTCTAAAAGAAAACCATTAGTAACACACTATGTCATCATGGATTAAAATCCTGCAGCGCACGCAAGGTCCCCCTGCTCAAGCCAGCGCATGTCCAGGCCCGTCTGAAGTTTGCCAATGACCATCTGGATGATCCAGAGGAGTAATGGGAGAATGTCATGTGGTCTGATGAGACAAAAATAGAGCTTTTTGGTCTAAACTCCACTCGCCGTGTTTGGAGGAAGAAGAAGGATGAGTACAACCCCAAGAACACCATCCCAACCGTGAAGCATGGAGGTGGAAACATCATTCTTTTTGGATGCTTTTCTGCAAAGGGGACAGGACGACTGCACCGTATTGAGGGGAGGATGGATGGGGCCATGTATCGCGAGATCTTGGCCAACAACCTCCTTCCCTCAGTAAGAGCATTGAAGATGGGTCGTGGCTGGGTCTTCCAGCATGACAACGACCCGAAACACACAGCCAGGGAAACTAAGGAGTGGCTCTGTAAGAAGAATCTCAAGGTCCTGGAGTGGCCTAGCCAGTCTCCAGACCTGAACCCAATAGAACATCTTTGGAGGGAGCTGAAAGTCCGTATTGCCCAGCGACAGCCCCGAAACCTGAAGGATCTGGAGAAGGTCTGTATGGAGGAGTGGACCAAAATCCCTGCTGCAGTGTGTGCAAACCTGGTCAAGACCTACAGGAAACGTATGATCTCTGTAATTGCAAACAAAGGTTTCTGTACCAAATATTAAGTTCTGCTTTTCTGATGTATCAAATACTTATGTCATGCAATAAAATGCACATTAATTACTTAAAAATCATACAATATGATTTTGTGGATTTTTGTTTTAGATTCCGTCTCTCACAGTTGAAGTGTACCTATGATAAAAATTACAGACCTCTACATGGTCCTGGGGTCCTCTGTAGCTCAGCTGGTAGAGCACGGCGCTTGTAACGCCAAGGTAGTGGGTTCGATCCCCGGGACCACCCATACACAAAATATATGCACGCATGACTAAGTCGCTTTGGATAAAAGCGTCTGCTAAATGGCATATTATATTATATTATTATATTACATGCTTTGTAAGTAGGAAAACCTGCAAAATCGGCAGTGTATCAAATGCTTGTTCTCCCCCCATTCAATAAGTCAATATTTCCTGATTCGAATTAGGCACAACATATTATTTTTTGGGTGAGACTTAAGGTAAAGGAATTTGGCTCCAACACTGGGGTTATGAAATGTAGCTCAGGGCAAGCTACAAATAAATCTGTGACATACTCACTGTAGATTTATGTCCTCTTGCAATTGAACAGATCTGGACATGTACCTTTACCATTGATTGCATGCATACCATAATTTATGGGGCTCCTTGTATCAAGGACCAGAGTGTTGACTTAAATGTCTGTTTTTTTGTTTTTAGAAACCTGTGGATATTTGTTTCAAAGTTCACAGAATTTGATGCAAGAAAATTGCATAAATTGTATAAGCACGCAATCAAGAAAAGACAAGAGAATGCTCAGGTATGTATAACACTGGGCCTTGCCGAATGAGCTACTGTTCTTGTGCATCAATTGACCTCATAAAGGTCTGCTAAATAATAAAGTGATACAAATTCAGATTGCATTTCCTATCTTTCCAAATTGAGTGTTAATGGCAGTGGTTTATGAGGCTTCTCTTTTACAGGCAGCTGACCAGAACACTAGCACTGTAAATACCCATGGCTTTAAACACACAGGTATGTCCTTTCACTTGTCTTTTTAGTCAGTCTTTATTTTAGGATTGATTTGTGTTTGTTTGCTATCTTGGACTGGTCTCTTGATTTTTTTTGTTGTTGATGCGATTAATTTAACCAGGTTAAATGAAGGATACATGTAAAAATATGAATAAACAATGAGATAAAAAGCAATTCTGTGTAGCCTTACTAACCCTGGCTGTTCTTCCTCTCCTCTTGGCCCAGACATCGAGAGGCTGAAGGACAACTCTCACCACGAAGACAGCAGCAGGGACCGCTACAGCTCTGAGCGGCACCACTCTTCGTCACGCTACCACGAGCACAGCGGCAGCAAGGACCGTGACAACCGGGACAGGCATACCTCCGTGGACCCCTACAACAGGAAGTGGGGGAGCGGGGGAGAATCCAGGAAGAGACCCTACTTGTCCTTCAGCAACGGCAAAGACCACCAAGTCCACTACCGGTCAGACCGGCAGGACAGCAGGTAAGACCACCTATATAGTCTTTAAAGGTATCTTTTTTTTGTCATACTAGTAAGGGGTTAATTTGAAATTAGTGGTAATTAAGGGACATTATTTTGTGTTGATTTTATTTTTACTGACTGGATTATTGTTGTACTGATTGATTTTTTTAAATTATTTTTTTATAGTTCTAGAATCTAGCGCAACTCAATGCCTTGTTTCTTAACAAATTGGTCCCATTGTGGATCAGATAACTAGGTAACTAATCATTTCTGTATATTGGATTTCTGTGCTGGTCAGTCTTGCTCATGGTGTCCCCCATCCATCTCTCTGACAGATACTACAACGACACTAAGCACAGGAAGGTGGACGAGCACCGGTCAGGCCGAGACAGACGGATGGACAGCAAGGAGCGCTTCAACTCAGACCACCACTCGCATTCCGAACACCGCTCATACTCAGAGCACAAGTCGTCATCACGAGGCGACTCCTACCGCTACCACTCAGACTGGCAGATAGACCACCGGGCGTCGGCCAGCGGGCCCCGTTCACCGTGCGACCAGCGCTCGTCCTATGACGGACGCTCGCCTCTGGGCCACCGTTCGCCTTTCGAGTACTCATCAGACCACAAGAGCACGCCGGAGCAGATCTGGAGCAGCCGAAAGACATAACAGCCAGCTTCGGCCTGGGCCAAAGGAGCTGGCCTAGCGGCGAGAGTATCAGCCATAGACACACATTGAACACAGGAAATGCCTTATGGGGAATGTGGAAGAAAACAAAGCTGTACTGTGCACTGTGTATCTGTGGGCTCAGCGTACCTGTGGTGTCCACTCTGCAATAGTGCACCACATCCCAGGAACGATAGGGGTGGGAGCAGGATGACAGACATTTTAATATTTTTTTATTTAAAAGTTGAAAGCTGCACTGTGCCATAGGTGTCGCAGCATAGTTTCTTTTCTTATTTTTATAAAATGGACGCCTTTAAAAAAAATACTCAAACAGACACAAATACCCTCGAGAGCTGCCCACACATCTCACCAAACCACAACACTGGATCCTGCTATTGACTGTTTGTTTTCTCTCATTCTTAATGTGGTTCTCAAGCTTATTTAAAGAAGTGTTAAATCAAGAGGTAAAGTAACATTATGTAGTTGTCTGGAAATCATGCTAAGAGTGGATGTTAGGGTCTCATCAAAATGCAGTCTGAAGGACTTGGGCTCTCCTTCCAAAGTACCTTGTTTACAGTGTTTCTTGTGCCCACCTTGCCGATCAGTTTTTTTTTTTTTCATCATGCTTGAATTATTTAATTTCTGTCTGCTGTAAAATAACCTGGATTTTTTTTTGGGATCAACTGAAAATGTCCCCTTTTCACGAATTATACTACTGTAAAATAGTAACTCAATAGGCTTTTTCCTCTCAGGCTTTTTAATCTTTATTATTACTACTCTTTCCCCATCAACTCAGGCTTTTTTTTTGTCAGTTTTAAATTGAGTCAGTTTTCATACGACAATTAATTTTAATGATAAATGCTAGTCAGAATGCAACTTTGGTAAACTGGGGAAATTATTCCATTAGCCTATTATTCCTCTAGAGGGACGACTTAGTTTATTTCTGTTTCTCTTATGTTAATTCTCTGTTGTGAATACGTGTCAGAATCGACGAGTTGAAAGCGCTCACATTTTACTACAACGTCATGGAAAACCAGGAGAGCGGTCTATCAAATAAAAGCGCCTGTTAGATCTCAAATAAACTAGTCTTTTTACAGAAATCATTTTCTTTTCTTTTTATGTAGGCAATAATGTCAAATCTTCTATGCAGCCAAGTGTATTTCTGGTGAACAGCCAGAAGATGCTGTTACAGTTCACACTGTTGTACATAGATTTCCTCTATATTTCAAAAATGTATTTACACTGAAAATGCATTGGTTTTTAAGATAATTGTTTTATATAGTTTATAAAGTAATTAAACTCAATCACTGTACTCGTAATCTGGAGTGGTCTACATGGTCTTCCTGTTGGTGCGTATGTCGCAGTACTAGAATTCTGGAGACAAATATCCCCCTTTGTCTTTGGTTTAAAGACTATAATCTCAGGTAACAAATAGTGGTCGGCAGGTTTTACCATGTTGTAACCTATGACCCAGAATCCATCTCTTCCTCAACCCTTTTGACACAATTGGCCAGGGAAGCATAAAAGCTGTGGTTACTGTGTCACTAGGATGCACGGCTGTAGGTTTTAAATACACTGAACAAAAACATAAACGCAACGTGAAGTGTTTGTACCATGTTTCATGAGCTGAAGTAAAGGATCCCAGAAATGTACCATATGCACAAAATTTGGTGCACAAATTTGTTTACATTCCTGTTAGTGAGCATTTCTCCTTTGCCAAGATAATCTATCCACCTGACATGTGGCATATCAAAAGCTGATTACATGGCATGATCATTACACAGTTGCACCTTGTGCTGGGGGAAATTGAGTACCACAATATGTAATTTTTAGAAACACTTAAAAGAAGGGCTGTATTTCGTGTAGGTTTACCCTGGCGTGATGTTTTCATAACTGTGTAAATCTCTCGGACAAGGTTAACTTTATCATTATTTGCCTGTATTTACCCCCCAAAATGAAACGCTAATTAGCTGCTAATGTGGCTATCATAAAGAACTTCAAATGCCATGATGATCTGGACGAGACTGCCAAATCGAGGCAAAGGTAAGAATCTCTGGATTAACTATCTAATGTTAGCTAAAAATAAATTGGCTACATTTCTTTAAATGGACAATTCTGTGAACTGTCTTGTGCAAGTTTTAAATTGACACAATACTTGTTAGCAGAGGTGTCAGCTAGAGATGACTTTCAGGAGCTTGCAGGGATTTGTATTTTTGCATGATGTCTACTTTGATGCTAATTAGCATTTTCGAATCTGAGAGTAAATAGAGCTGAATATATTGATAAAAGTCACCTTGTCCAAGAGAGATTTACATGGTTATCAAAACGTCACAGCAGGGTAAGCCTACACAAAAAACAGCCCTTCTTTTAAGTGTTTCTAAAATCCCCTATGGGAAAAATGAATGGTGGAAAAAAGATTGGAAGCATTTCCCTGTTTGATCGCTAGGTTTTATGGGTATTATGACACCTCCACTGTGGGGCTCTACACAAGGCCACTCTAAAATTAGCAGTTTTGTCACACAATGCCACAGATGTCTCAAGTTTTGAGGGAGCATGCAATTGGCATGCTGACTGCAGGAATGTCCACCAGAGCTGTTGCCAGAAAATTTAATGTTCATTTCTCTGCCATAAGCCGCCTCCAATGTTGTTTTAGGGAATTTGGCAGTACATTAAACCGGCCTCACAACCGCAGACCACGTGTAACCACGCCAGCCCAGGACCTCCACAACCGGCTTCTTCACCTGTGGGGATCGTCTGAGATCAGCCACCCAGACAGCTGATGAAACTGTTGGTTTGCACAACCCAAGAATTTCTGCGCAAACTGTCATAAACCGTCTCAGGGAAGCTCATCTGCGTGCTCGTCGTCCTCACCAGGGTCTTGACCTGACTGCAGTTCGGTGTCGTAACCGACTTCAGTGGGCAAATGCTCACCTTCGATGGCCACTGGCATACTGGAAAAGTGTGCTCGTCACGAATTAATCCCGGTTTCAACTGTACCAGGCAGATGGTAGACAATGTGTATGGCGTCGTGTGGGCGAGCATTTTGCTGATGTCAGTGTTGTCAACAGAGTGCCCCATGGTGGCGGTGGGGTTATGTTATGGGCAGGCATAAGCTACAGACAACGAACACAATTGCATTTTATTGAATGCAATTTGATTGCAGATACCGTGACGAGATCTGGAGGCCCATTATCATGCTATTCATCCGCCACCATCAGCTCATATTTTAGCATGATAATGCATGGCCCCATGTCGCAAGGATCTGTACACAATTCCTGGAAGCTGAAAATGTCCCAGTTCTTCCATGGCCTGCATACTCACGTCACCCATTGAGCAGGTTTGTGATGCTGTGGATCGACGTGTACGACCGCGTGTTCCAGTTCCCGCCAATATCCAGCAACTTCGCATAGCCATTGAAGAGTGAGTTGGGCAACATGCCACAGGCCACAATCAACAGCCTGATCAACTCTATGTGAAGGAGATGTCGCGCTGCATGAGGCAAATGGTGGTCACACCAGATACTGACTGGTTTTCTGATCCACACCCCTACTTTTTTTTTAAAGGTATCTGTGACCAACAGATGCATATCTGTATTCCCAGTCATGTGAAATCCATAAATTAGGGCCTAATGAATTTATTTCAACTATAACTCAGTAAAATCTTTGAAATTGTTGCATGTTGCTTTTATATTTTTGTTCAATGTAGATCATTCACCCAAATTGCAAAATGTATTTTGTTTCCTTACAATGAGAGTTGTCTATGGACAAGGACGGAATGCAATCCACACTTTGTGTTTACCTACTGTCATCAACCGCTAACTTTAGCATTTTCTAACAAAATTCTATGGAAGTCAATGTAGCCGATATTGGCATGTTTCAATTTCATGCCCAAATCTGAAATGGATTATGTGTTGCTCATTTAAATTACTTTGAGATTATAGTGAGATTAACTGTCAATAACACAAACCGATTTAGTCACCAGTTTTATACCAGGGACTGTTTTGTATAGGACACATTTGACATGTTCCAATGAGTGTTACCGTGTCATTCGCCAAGTGGTAGATAAACTGACATACCATAACCACTGGTCCTAGACTAAAAAACATGTTCAGGCATTTTCCTTTAATATTACTGAATTAAAACGTGTTGTGGTTTGATGTGGGTGTCTCTTGTGTGTGTTCGCAGGTGTTAGCCCAATTATTAAGAGTTATTTAGCCAATTAGCTTCAGCCGGCTGGTGTGCGACCGTGGCAAAGTTGGTTTGACTTTGGATAGTCTATCTCCGAGGCTAGTTAGGGACCGTCAATAAATTACATAATGTAAATGAGAATATTTTCATATTGTACACCTTTTAGTTTTCTCATTAAATGCTTTCTATATTTGTATATGGATTTCTACGATTTATAGTTGGTTTGAGGATTTTAAGTCATTGAAATTTGGAGTTATTGGAATTTTAACATATTGTCCCATGTACATTGTGTAATTTACCGATGGTTCCTAACTAGCCCCATAGGGACTAGTCAACCCAAATTAACCACGGGCATTACGATTGGGTCGCATGCAGCTACACTCCGAATTGATGATTACTTGTGCTGCCAGCTGTAGGCATGTGGGCAGGATTGAAACAAACCCAATCTTCATTTACATTGTGATGACCACAAGTCTCACAAAACTTTTGGACGAGACTGACATTGACCAAAATTATAATGTTTACACTTTGTAAACAATTAATAAATGTTTCTAACTCATATCGATGCCACAGGCTGTTTTCTAAATGTACAGTGCATTAGGAAAGTATTCAGACCACTTCCGTTTTTCCACATTTTATTACGTTACAGCCTTATTCTAAAGCGAAAACAGGTTTTTTGAAAATGTAGCAAATGTATTACTAATAAAAAACAGAAATACCTTATTTACATACAGTACCGGTCAAAAGTTTGGACACACCTACTCATTCCAGGGTTTTTATTTGTATTTTTACTTTTTTCTACATTGTAGAATAGTAGAGAAGACATCAAAACTATGAAATTACACATATGGAATCATGTAGTAACCAAAAAAGTGTTAAACAAATCCAAATATATTTTATATTTGAGATTCGTCAAATAGCCACCCTTTGCCTTGATGACAGCTTTGCACACTTGGCATTCTCTCAACCAGCTTCATATTCCAAGATGGCGTAGTAGTGCGGTCATGTATTCTGTTGTGTCCTCGTGTAAATAGCCAGTTTTTTTTGTCTTTTTGTATATATTTCTCTATCTCACTTTCCATCCTTTAACAAAATATACTTTTCTGCAACCCGCCTCACCAATGT